TGATGGTACTGATTTCTCACCTTCTAAAGCGCTCAGATAAGGGAAGGGATCTCAAGCTACACTTACTACACTTACTGTAAATTTAATCAATCCATCTAGCATGGGAAATTTTGATATGACTCTGGTCGCTTTATGTTCTTGGGTTTAGTTTGATGTGCTCTTGTTTATTAAATGTACGGGTTTTTGTTGTTTTCTTCTCATTTTTTCCTTCGCAAGCTGTTTTTACTCATACTGTAGGAACAAAATTGTGGTATTTATGTTCTCGTGAGCGAAAGTCACACACAAAACCATCCTATTAAGGCGTTATTATGCACCTTTGTTTGTCGGCCAGACCAGACTAGCCACATCTCTTGTCTCCGAAACACGTTGTCGTCCTTCCCAGACAATAATCCTTGCCCAGTTGTTGCCAGCACCGCAATCCATCAAACCGTTCTTGGCAAACTCGTTTTTGCTGATTCTGTCACGTGTGTCGGCAAATTTGATTTGTTGCCAGGTTCTCTCGACGACGGGAGATCGGGGCTCCATAGAAGGAACAGGTCTTGCGCTACTGTCAAGCGTTCTTCTGGCCACACTTTAACTGCCCATTATTGCCTGGCCGAGGACAAAGGAAGTTTCTGGAGACTTTGCGATAAGAGTAAGGGGAAACTGCTTCTTTAGCGGATTTAGACAACTGGTACATCCCTAATGAGCAGAACGCGGATTAACTTCTCAATAATAGACGTATCAAAATCCAGTGTCGTCACTGGATCATCTGTGACGAATGTGCTAGCTGGCGTAACATGGAGCCTGATACGTGAACTCTCCTGATCTCCTAGAAGGGATATCTGAAAGATGATTGATGCAGAGCGTTTGCATAAAGAGAACACAAGAGGGAGAAGTTTTCGCAAAGCTTATTGAACCGATTTGCGACTAATCAAATCTCTGCGAGATGACCGTTCCTGGTCCATAGTGAGGATAAGCAGTGGCGATTCTTAGCCGTTCCGTCTCGTTCCAAGTGCTAGCGGAACGAATGGTCTGATTTGACAGACCAGGCTTTTTTGATAATTGCAAAAGATCAGATATGAACGTCAAGCATCCATCACTGATTAGGAAATCCTCCACTGTAAGTTATTGCAACACTCTGACACACGCCTCGGATACAAAGAGTAAAGAACACAGTGTTGAAAATGTTTTGTATTTCACATTGAGGGTATGGTGCATGATTTTTTTTGCAGATGCTATCCAGGAACACTTCTAGATTCTTCCTTATCCAATCTTCGCTCTGTTCTAATCACTCAGTGTTCTAAGTACGATTACCAATGGATACAGCATCTTCTATAAGCTCTCATCGATAAATCGTGAAATACCCTCAAATAAGCAGATTTGAAAGTCTGAAGATTACCAATCTACATTTTACATTATGTGGCATCCAACTGTGATCCGTGCTCTAATGTCGATGTTCTTACTGATAAGTGAGTTCCTCCCTACGTCATGGTTCTTCTTGTTCAACCGGTGATGACGTTGAAGCACAGTTGGTGATTGGGATGGAACGTACTTGGTCCTGTTATTCAACAGCTTTTTGGACCAAGAGTTTCTTCACTTTGCGCTGGTGAAATTACAGCGATCAGGATGATCAGTCAGTCGCGGCGAGGGCAATGAATGAAGTCCCCAAATGAGCAGAATTCCACAAATCCTTTTTCTAAGCCTTGATGGAATTTCTGAGATAAAGGATTCAAAATAAGCTACTACGCTCAGTTCAAGAGGTGGGCAGAATATGCGCGTGAATAAATAAAAAATGAATGAAAAAGACACTCCAATGACGCTCTTTTCTTCACATTTCCGTTTGATATTCTTGCGAAATTGTGAAAATAAATAACATATCGGGTTTCACGTGCTGTCGTATATAACATTCACTAATTTCAGGAAATAAGCGAAAAGATAAAATATGAGTACGATTTGGAGGCATTGGAATTTCCTTTGCTATAAATTTCCTGTCCAGAACAAGTGATACTCATCTTTATTTTTTATTTATCTATTCATTTATTTTATTTATTTTGTATGCACATTTTACTTGACTAATGCCTAAAACATATGTCTAACACTTCATCCTTTTTATAATATTTTTAAAAGGGCAATGGTGATCATTGCTCAATGAATTAATATCATTCTTGAGAATATTTTTCTTCACCACATGTAGGTAAGACACTCGTAGACTTTGAGCAGTGCAGTTTTGCAAAAAAACGTTTTTACAATGGCTAAAAACTTTCGAAAGAAAAGTGCTGTTTAATCGTATCTGCAAGCACTGTCATACTGTATCGCTAACATTCAGTTCACATTCGCAGATGGATGGCTAGAAAATACTCTCTAGCGCTCAGTGATCATCGGCACAAATGTTCAAGTATTCAAGAGAGACTGTATACCGGTCTTTTGTAAATTCTCGAAGTTTTCGCTCGTTGATGAGCTAAGCGGCTAGTTTTCATAATTGAAATCCACGACAATCGGTTTTTGAGTTGTTTTCTGAGCTTTCACTTGTTTGCACTTATCTGCGCTACGAGAAGCACGTGGAAGCTCATTAATTTCTGTTGGGGAAAGAAGAGAAAAATGCAAACAAGCCAAACTTGCTCTTCCGGTTGTTTCCACTTGAAAAAGCGGCAGATTCATGTTTGTTTGAAAAATAACTCGCATGGGTGGCAAACTCGAGAATGGTCTCCACTTAGGAGACTATTCTCGAGTTCTGTGTATTGGTCCGGTCCTGGGGAAAGTTTAAAAATTTCGAAAAATCCCTGCACGAATTACAACATTTTCAGGCGATAAGTGGGCTAAATTTTGAGGGACCCTGTCCTCTAAATGCGAAGGGTCTTTCAGCACAGCAGATATACAGGTATCCTTGCTGCTCACACTGTTCAGAGATCACATCTTACTCTACAATTTCGCAAAATGACCATGACATTAACCATTTAACAAAGTTATCACAATCTTTGATACCTACGATGAGACCATGGAGAAAGGATAGTGTTACCAGAAAGTGATTGATAAGTGTTGATGGGTTGACAAAACAATCATCAGGTTTTACTCATGTCAAATCCGCGAGGATATGGGAGGGGAAAGGGGGTGATTCGAGTATCGGAAAAGACTTTAACAAAGACGGAGGTCATGAAAAAAATAATACTCAGCGGGCATTAAGCCAGAGGATCACTGAAGAGCTACTGTGCCAGAGTGATAGACTGTGCTTTCCTACCCAGCTTCCCTTACTGTAACATTACAATTAAATTTTCAAGTAAGCTACAATTATTCTTCTGACATTTTTTCCACTAACCCGCTCTTTCATCCAAGAGTGCAAAATTTTCGAATTTCGCCCAAACTTCGCCTGAATTATGCTGGAAAAAAAATTATTAAGTCTGGAGAAATTGATTATATTTGGCAGAATGCAAAGGACCAAAAAACTAGCTACAAACTACCAATTTTGGTTGATTAGTGTAGCTGAGTTACTGCGCCTAAATTATGAGCTGTGGTTTTCCAACAAATATTCTCCTACCGTAATTCCACAGTAATTTTGTCCAAGTACCTCCATCAACCATTGCAACTGATTTCACCAAACTGAGTGAAAACGAACGCAGAATTCTCCTGGCATCATCATCAATCGCTTTCTAGCCTTTGCTTTACACTACACCGTATAGAACTGCTTGTGTTTTATCACTTCCTGCTTCCACATACTAATTGGGGCCAAGTCAAAGACAAAGCGTATAACCAAGTTTGGTAATTTCTCGCAGAGAAAAATTACTGCGTTGGACTTCACTTTTACTCGAATGAAGTAACTTTGTGCTTATTTTCTTTAGTAAGCAGCTTGAACTGCTGGGCAGACTCTTTGAATATTCAAACTGTGCGAACGGAGCAAGCGGCTCGTTCCTCATCGTTGTTTCTCGCATAGATAACAGATGCAGAAGTAGAATAAGAAACAAGTTTTTTTACTCCGCTTGTTACAAGACGAATCGCCGAAGGTGGCACCGACTAGCACAGAGCACGATGCCCAAAACCGGAAAAGCGGTCACCGAGACACCGCGCGCAATGGCGGAGGGTGCGCGGAAGTGCAGACGCGCGCGGCGACCGACAGTACAGTCATTTTTGGTGAAAATGACTTCATCATTGTGAAATTCCGAGGTCAATCCCGGCCGGGAGGTGCGAGGTGCCTCGTGGCACCACCTGGTAGGTGCATTCTAGCCAATTTTAGTTCTTCGCACTTCGCGCAGATTCTTGCAGCATCATCGCATCTAAGTGGAAACAGCGCGATCAGGGCTCGACACGAGGTGGCTTCAGTTGACACCGCAAAACGAAGAGCCCCTATGAGGGCTCATAGAGATAAAAATGAGTAAAGCAGAAAAAAGAAACAGTAATGATGTTCGTATTATCTAACTTGGCGGCATGCCGTGTCCGGCGCGCGCCACCGCGCGCTTGGAGCAGGATTTGCCGCCGACATCCAGAATTTTTGAGGGGCCGTAAAAGCGGATAGGAGAGTTTTTGGCGTATAAGAATTGAACTCTAAGCTTGAAGAAAGGAAAATGCGACTTTGTCTCTGCATCAAGGTAGCTCGCCATTAGTTACAGGCCACTTAGCTTGGAAAAAGTTTGCCAAATATTCATTCTTATAATTTTTTCATTATTTTTGCGCAATTACACTCCATTCTTGGAAGTGGGGTAGAAGTTCCACGTGATAATTTAGGGCAACAATGGCATCGGGAAAGTTCTATCTAGAGGGAGGGGAAGGGGGGGGGAACACAATTTTGTTGGAGGCCTAGAGTTGGCCACCTCAAACTTTTCACACGGCTTAGCCAAAGCGTAGAAATTTTGGTTTTCGTTAGCAGTTCTCTGGCATCAATCCACTAATCTTGCGAAAACGATATTTTCTTTGCTTCTTACCCTAAAACGCCAGCTTGCCCATGGGCAACCTGTGCCAAGCCCTAAGCGAGATTCGCTCTCTGCTCGTGTGGATAGAAATCAGAAGACCATTCATTTATTCGATTAGAAGTCTCCCTATCACAACATATACGACAATTACAAAATTGCACAGCGCTTGTTGCACATGACGCATGGGTCGCACAACACAAAAATTTCAGAGTTATTATCCCAAGACTCGGCTCTAGCTTGATGCTTTCAATAAATTATTACAAAAACACAAAATAAATATGGAATGTTATTAATTTCACTTTTGATCAAAACAAGGGGATAAAAATGACAGAATGGAGTTTTCAAGTGACGAAACAAGTGGTCCAACTGTGAATGCGCCACACACAATGACAATCAAAGGGTAAAGCTTAGCTGACAAAATCACTTCAAGCGTGATTTTCGCAAAAAGACAAGCACCACCTACCGTACAACTACAGTACAAAGAATTTGCAACCGCCCAGAAACATCATCTAGCTTACTATTACTCTTTTCAAACTCGAGATTCGCGACTGGTTCGCAAGACAAAACCTTGGTTTATTCCATTCCCAAAGCGATGGCTTCGATTTTGTTGAACAGCATCTGTGCTCTGTATCCTTCCTCGCATTTACGGCAGAAGTCGATAACACCCAAGAGACGTTTGATGCCGATACCATAGCTGAAATGGAAATTTTGAGACTACTTCACATTTTGTGCAGCAGTTTTTCACTCAAAACAAAAAACATTTCATTCGCAACAGCTCATTTTTAAAAAAAAGCGCAAATTTTCGTTCTACACAAAAAACAGCTTATTTGAACGTGAGCTCAATAAATTTACTTCACAGTTTATGCAGCAATTTTTCACTTAGAACAAAAAACATTTCATTCGCAACAGCTCATTTTTGGAAAAAAAGCGCAACTTTTCGTTCTACGCAGAAAACAGCTCATTTAAATGCGAGCTCAACAAATTAACGATGGCAACATTTCGCAATGGATGAGATTTAAATTTTGTTTTAAAGTTTTTTGTTCTAAGTGAAAAATTGCTGCATAAACTGTGAAGTAAATTTATTGAGCTCGCATTCAAATAAGCTGTTTTTGTGTAGAACGAAAATTTGCGCTTTTACCTATCTCCAAAAAAAACCTGATCGTATACATACAAGAAACTAAACAAAATAACAGAATAAAATGATAACAAGGCCGTCAAATGAAAGTTAGTCAAAAACATCCAATTAGTGGAACAACAAGTAACGAGAGTTGGCATATTTTCCATTTTCCAAAAAGTGCTGCAAAAAATGCCGAAGATTTTTTATTGAGGTTTTTGAGTCTGGACACGCGACATAATTGGCCTCGACAGAAGCGTCAACAATTCAAACCAAGACTTCAGAGTTATCAGGGAAAGATATATTTCATCGTATGGAGAAACATCCTTAAGACATTAGATCAATGTATTTGTCATTGAACTTCACTTTACCCATAACGTTGTGTGTTTATGATTTTCACTGTTATGGTCGTACACATAAAAGAAAAGAGACGATGTTTACATTGTTTTTGCAATGATAACCTACATAAACTGTTTTCCACTTCTACACTCACACCACACCCAAAACCGATTCATAGAATTGTTCGAAATCGTAATTGACGTATTGTCACTTCATACAAACTTGTTTCACTCATAACCTCTTCGAAAAATCAAATCAAGAAGCAAATTACAAACTCGCTTCAGGCTGAAGTAAAAGGAGGATAATAAACTCCACCTGTTATTTTGTAAGAGACCATGCAGATCGCGATTGAGCTTCTCCAATTCTTCATGAGAGAAGACATCCGATTCTTGCAGAACATGCATGATATGCGAAGGTGTCGACAAAAGGGGGACATCTATCACATGGCCTAGAACAAAACTTTCGCTGATGTCCAAAGACGAAAACTCAAACAATATAACCCCAGGTAATCACTGGTAAGCAAAATCGAATCGCTGCGCATTGCTACCAGAATACCTTTGAAAGCAAAAAACCTCAGAATGTGCGTAATGTACCACCACAAGCTAGGTTTTACAAAGGCCATCTGTGTATAAGAATACCATGGTTACACTGGAGATTGTGAAGGCGGTAAGGTGATCCCTAGGCCCCCCCCCCTCCCCCCGAGAATGGGTAGCGAAACCTTGAAAACTACTTACAGTTATAAATTGTGCAAATGACCTTAGACTTGTAGATAATCTAAATAACTTTTTGAATTTTTTAAAAATGCAAATTAACCCAGTAAAAATTTCTTCAGGAGTGTGTATCGCTACGGCCCCCTTTTATTTGAGAATTCGAGGGGTTATGGGCAGGAAAAAATTTGAAAAGCATCCCAGAATTTTTCGGTGTGCGTGGCTAATGAACCTTTATTCGAGCAAAATTTTTGGCGCTCTCCCTCCCCCTCCCCCAGAGATCCTGGGATTGCCACTGCTACGACGGGCTAATATGTGGAAGAATATTGGCAAATGCCAGTAGACTTTAGAGTGCCCACAAGGTTAGTCATACATAAAAATGAACAAAAATTTGATTAAGTTTCTTTGGATAGAACTTACCAAATGCATTGATCAACTCGAGCTCTCGAAGGAAAGAGCGATTGGATGACGTTGCCAAGACAAGTAAACGATGTTCCTAAAGTAGAATATTCCTCACATCAAAAGACGCAAAATTTCTTCAACCTATTTGGCTAGCTTGTTTTGAATGAATTAGATCGATGCTTTTGTGACACCGAACAAAGAATGCTACTACTGTCCATTTCTATGAAATACATCAAAATGTTCTCGCCATTGTTCTGTAAAGAGCCATACATCACAGTCTTCTTACGTACAAGTTCTTTACAACTTATGGAAGGAAATGATGCTGGACGAGCTGAGGAACAAAAAGCTGATCGAAAATTAGCAACGAAACTGGTTATTTGTGAAAAGTGAGATGCACTATTGAAATGCCATGGCTAGAAAAAGAACATCTGCACTTTGACAAGAACACAATGACCCTCATGGTCATACTCCAGCATAAAAATGCACCATTTGAACACAATGTATCATGCAGCACGCTACTATTCAGCTGCACAGAATGCAGCTAATATTTGTTAATGGATGTAAGGGACACACAACAAGCTTTTCTATGTACTTTAGAGGCATTGTTCAGGCACATTTGAGTGACTGGACCTTGAGTGGATATTAGGAGGCCTTAGCTAGCCAGCTCGAGAGGAAGATCGAATGAATCATAATCGTCCCTGGCAAAAAATATGACTTCTAGTACCACCTTAACGGTACTCTTCACGTGGACTAAACGGCATCCTTGAGTACGGTAGGTTTTTCGACTACAAACTTAGATACGGTATCTTAATCAGTCTCCATTTGAGAAACTCAAATATCCAGACTTGACCGGATAATGGCTTCAAATGAAGCGATTTGGAAAGTCCAAAAGCGTGACGGAATATTTTTTTTCGTGGAACTTTTATTTTATCGAAATGACAGTTGCAGCACTGTAAGACGTCAATGTGGATTGAATGAAGGGTAGCTAGCAAGTCACTCAAAAAGCTGTAAAGAGGCTAAGTTCGTCGAATGTTTCGTTTTTGAAACAGCCTACTTTTTTCAAAATAGGGATCTTCGTCAGACATTTCATGAACGTAAAAATGCAAAACTCAGTTTCATCCTTGTATAAGTTAACCCAACACACTTCTTGAACCATTATTGCAAACGCAACAGGAGGCAACTCAAAAGAGCAAAGCTTAGGCCTTGCAAGATGATTTTTGACTTCTGGATTCTAGAAATTTGCATACTTCTTTGCTAAACAGTTTTCCACCTTCAGATTTCCTTTAAATTTTTTTTTCAACAAGCAGAAAAACTACGACACCTTTCTTCAGAACACGTTTCTTAATATGAAGCGAGTGAAAGTGCACGAACTTTACAATCAAGAGCTGAGGCAAGCACTTAGAGTTTTTGTACCTCACAAAAACCCGAAAAAAAAACGGAACTTACCGGTGGTGGTGGCTCGTTAAGCAACACAAGCAAAGCTTGAAGAACAAGATTGGAAAACCTTGGACCAACAGGTGAGTAGTCTGAAAGGTCACATAAAAAATATATGGAAAAACTTTCAACTTCGACGTAGGAAAAAAACCCACCAAGCAATCGTTCAATGTTGTCTATCAGAAGGACACTAAGTTTAGAGCGGAACGCATCACCGAACGCTTTTCGAAGCATTTGACATTTCGCAGACTCCGAGAAGCCCACCATGTCACCGGGGGAAATAACCTGAGTAGGTTTCCATAAGGAACATTTAAATCAGTAAATTCGGTGATTATCGATAGTTACTATATCTAAAATATATTCGTGGAAAAGCTAGGTGACCGAAAAGAAGAAAAGTCAACAAAAGAAAACGAAGGGTAGATTCTTTCCGCATTTTTCAAAAGTAGCAAAAAGAATAAAACGCAAAAACCTTCCTATCCTAAAAACTAAATATTTTAACTATCTCATCGTCTGTCTTACCTTGATCAAGGGAAAATCTGAAGCTCTAGCGATTTCCGCAGCTAGGAAACTTTTCCCTGTTCTTGGAGCACCTGAATAACGATTTGTGAGAAAAAAATTGAAGAATGAAACGAAGAAGGGTTCAGAAGTTACCAGCAAGTACGGCCGTAACAAATCCTCCAGCATCTGGATTGACAGTTTCTTCAACAAGCCTCTGACCCTCTTCGAGGATTTTCGTTACCTCGCTTCCCCACACAACCATGCCTCGTCTCAAGAACTTTTCGAGGGATTCATCGCTCCTTCCAAACGCCTGAAGATATCCACTTCAGTAGAATTTTCAAATGCTAGTTACAACTGCTCTTACCGGTTTTATATCGTTTTCCAGCGCATACTCGAAGTCAGATGCATTGACCACCAATTTTTCCACCGCATTGGGGTCTAGTTGCACCTGAAGCAGCTTTTTCATGGCTCTGTCCAGTATGAGTATTTGAGATGGTCAATATAATGAAAAACTTATCATGAATAACCCGATGAGGCAGACGGTCACGGATTGGACAACTTAGTTAATTAGAGGTGATATTTAAGCAGTAAGTACTGCATCATAGAACGGACAACCTTTCACTAACACTCTTCACTGACAAAGCAAAAAATGGAATATGAGCCATCAGAGGAAGTGAGAAAGAGTCTATATGTTAATTATTTAACAACACCCGATTATGGACGCATTTGATTACTAAGAATGCAAAGAATTTATTTAGATCATTTGAAGTTAAAATGATACAGCTGAAGCAGGATTTCCGAAGGTAAAATTGATTTGATGCTTGATAACGATGTCACTTACAATTAGATTTTGCCCACGTTAACTATTGTAATTTGTGCTATACTTAATTTTCGACAAACCTTACAGTCATGTTCAACTCAATGAAAGGATATCGACAAACACTTCGAGCTTTTGCGCAAGCATTGGTTCTCTTTAATTTTTTTCCAAAATTTTATACTAAGTGTTCTTCGAGCTGATACATTTCTGAAATCCCTCCCAACAATACATCTCAGACCGATTCGTGAACAGACGCGCTATAATTGGGGAATAGACAATGGAATAGTTGCTGTGTGAGTACCATGCGCCCAAGTTAAAATCTACTCGCAAAATATATTTTGAAGGAGTAAGTGATGGACTGAAACGAAAATTTTGCTTAATGCTATTACAGTACCAATTTGTAAGCAACAGTAGGAACAGCCAAGCAGAGCCCTATCACATCCTGCTTGAAGGACACAAGCCAAATGATAATTTTTGATGCAAAAAGGTGAACAGGATTGGTGCAGAAAGGAGTAAAAAATCTTAGAGAGGTTTTAAAAGTAGACGTGCTCGATGCTCAAATCAACACAACCATAAAGTGAGATAATGCGTTACCGTGACGGAAAAAAATCGATATATTGATCGAGGGATGCAAGACTTCAGCAACGAGCTTGGACATTATGGAATGTTATAGAAGGAGTGTTTGCAACACCCAAATTCCAGTTAGTGCCAGCCTCGAGCTCCACTACATTAATAATTCTGTTCGAATCCAACATACACGAAATTAAAAAAAAAGATGGATACAACTACGGTGCATGCAAATTCGTGCGATTTCCAGGACACAACTGCAGAAGTCAATTGATGCGTGAATTTGTCAGCTTTCAAAAGGTGGATTACCTTCCCTCCAGCTTTGACAAGACGATTCATGGCACTTGATTGAGCTGCTCTCACCAGACCTTCAATTTCAGCACCTGAGAAGTTCTTGGTGCGCTTAGCCAAATCTTCCAAATTCACATCCGGATCGAGCTTTTTGTACTCTCTGAAAACTCATTTTTCTAATGATTTCTACCAAGTTATATGTTCTTGCGTTGGCACTGATTTACACACCGCATTCTAGAAGTGTGAATCTTGAAGATCTGAAGACGTCCAAATTCATCTGGGAGGCTGACTTCCATCTGGACTTCAAGACGACCCGGTCGGAGCAGGGCTTCATCAATCATGTCTTTTCTGTTCGTCATACCTACATAACATGAATGAATACCAGGTAACCCCATGGAAACTTTTAAGCAGTACCTATGACCAAGATGTTGTTCAATTGTTCAACACCATCCAATTTTGACAGTAGCTGGTTAACTACGGTATCGTGGACTGATGAAGATCCAGCCTAAACCATGCACTCATGTATCAACCAAGTCAATCCTACAGATTGGATCTTACCATGGAACCTCTCTGCTTGCAGATGGCATCGATTTCGTCGAAGATGATGATGTGAAGACCTGAATTTGATCCACATCTTCTCCACTCCTCTTCAGCATCGGCAAACAGTTTTCGCACATTCGATTCTGACTCGCCGACGTACTGGAAAAGCAAAAATTTTTACAAAAAAATGCTCTAAAACGGCCTACCTTGTCCAAGATCTGTGGACCATTGACAATCTTCGGCTCTCTGGAGTTCAACATCTTACCAATTTGGCGAGCCATCAAAGTCTTACCGGTACCAGGTGGACCAAAAAGGAGGATACCACGCACGTGCTTCATCCCTTAACCGTTGAATTGGATCTAAATCTCTGTTCAAGTACAAATTGGAAATTACCAAGTTGCTCAATAAATTCGGGAGGGAAGACTCGTGAAGCAAAAGCTCGACGGAAGATTCCTGAGAACTCCTTGTCCAGTCCACCAATTCCCATCTTCTGGAAATCCCAGTCAGGGTTAATAATGGATCGGTACGCCGATTTTCTGGAAAACTCGGTTACGAAGCAAATTTTCGAGAATATCAGACCACAACCCACCCTTTACTCTTTCCTATGAGGTTCAGCTGAGATCCTTCTTCTTTATCAAAAATTATAGCAGAGTTGGGCAAAAGCTGTCCGCAGTCAATCTGCAAGTAAGAAGTTCCGCTGATCGCGCCTCCGATTGCCTCAAAAGAAAAATGAAATATTCTTACTGGGAAAGGTTTAGATTTTTCGTCACCAGCAGCAGCAGAGTTGAGATCGATGCCTAAAGATTGTACATTGAGCAACTTTCGGAAGGAAGATCTTTTTGGTAGTTTTTCAAATGCTCTATCGATGTCCATTTTCGACAAGGAGATGCTCTATATACTATCGCGTAACGCAAAAACTACGAACCTCTCATTTTGTCAAAAATTTAGCTGTGCATATTGATCTGGATCTTAGTTAGAAAAGAAACAAAGCTGGGTTTGATTTAGAATTTAAAACAAATTAGAACAACTTAGAAAGTTTACCTAACTATTGCGATATGATAAAATGATGACAGGTTCAAGCAATAGTATTTGCCTTATCCAAGCAAACATATACCCTACTATATTTTTTTTAACAATCATTTTTTGGATAGTATATGATAAATGGCCTTTTTAGCATGCATATTTATTTCATAAATAGAGAACTGCATGGACAGTCTGTAATGTACTTTACTTCAATATCTTAGAACTAGTACTATTTCAATGGTCCAATGGGTTGTTTTAATGGGTTAGAGAACTTGAAGTCTTGAATTGCGCACACGCATTCAAAGCTCTTAATGCCTTCATTTTCACCATTCTCTTGCAAGGCTCTGCTGCATGAAACACTCACATAAGGGACTATTCTCTATATTCTTACAAGATGTAGACATCTTGGAATTTTTATACGTACATACTCCTAGCATCCTTCTGACGATCAGCTATCAGCAAAAATATTTTTCCGTATGCAACGCATCAACTGACCGTCTATACTCTTGACGACGAGTGACAGTGTGTAGGTTTTGCCTTTCTCTGGCTCAGTGAATTGAAATATGAGAAGTTCGCCTTTCGTGAAAGCCATTCCTCCAAATTGCATGGAAAATTCCCGAGCCATTAAGTCAGAGTTCAATGGCTCCACGGTGGCACTGCAATAAAGAGTAAGATGTATTGTTACGTTTCCCTCCTCCAAAGTGGAATGAAAGCTTTACGATGCGTTTTCTATAAACTCTTTCAACCCATCAAAGAAAACGTGCTCACTTCTTTTTTAGTTGAAAGTCGGCCGACATGGTTATTGTGCCAATATATTGGTTACTCTAAAAACACATTCATTATCTTCTGTATAGTAGCCACCCTTACGAGCTCACCTTGAAAGCGTAAGGCTGTACAATTACTTCTTGATCCAAGCTAAGCACAGCCCACTTTCTTTGCGCTATGGCGAACGCAATTTCACCACGCTTCATAGTGGGATGATTGCGGATGGTAACGACATAACGATGACCCGGTCCAGTTTGCATTTGCACATGTCTGAAATAAAATAAGGAACGTACGCCAAATTCATAATTATTTGTGTTCACTCTCCAAAACAGCTAAGAAGTTAGAAGTATATGGCTAATTAGGAGTTTTATGGGATATATGCCAGCTTATACCAATTTGAATGCCTTTGAAAAATCACTGGGAACAGATATAAACTGACAGAGCCTTTGTCTAAACAATGAGATGTGTCTCCAAGAAACACTTATAGTATATCCCCGATTAGAATGTAGAATACTTTATGCATGATTTCTTGAATCAATTCAGGATCAAAATGTTCCGGACAATCTAAAAATATGCTCTTGACTTTAATTGCACAACAGGAGACAGAATTTGCTATCAGCCGAAAAATCTTTGGCTTATATCTTCTCCCGAATCGATCTGCTGGTCAAGAGAAAACATCCTATGCATTAAAGTACTTAGCCTAAAACTTTTCTAGTAATATTTAAGCGTTCAGACCGAGATTTTTTGCGTCGTGTGTGGTTCTCATAGATGTGGAAAAGAGTTTTCTGCTTTTAGTGCGCTCTGCGCGAAGAGTTTGAATGGGTATCAAAAATAAGCAATTCATAACAACTTGCATTCATCAATTATCAGCATTTCATTTGAAGAGGTAAAACACACTTAACACTGCGATATTAACCTCCGTATCATATCATGAAGTACAATACCCGTAATTTGTGAAAAAAAATGGCGGCGGCACTTAACTTACGCGGCGCCGCCGAAGTTAGGTGACTTTTGCCGCGTCGCGCGGCAAAAGTCGGCGGAAAAGCGGCCAAAGTCACCTAACTTTGTCGCGCAACGCCTAACTTTTTATAAAAAAAGACCTTATCTTGATTCAAAATTTATGAATTCTATATATAAGAGTACCATTCAACTCAGCTCGGCGAGGCGCATCTTCCAGTATACGGATGTGCCTAGTTGTGGGATATAAGTTTCTTTCCTGGAATTTTAGTGTAAATGGACCATTCAGTGTGCTTATTCCAGAGGATACGTACACATTCTATTGAGCACAGCAGAAATAGGGCAGGTATAGTTTAAGAGCTCATTCTGCATGGATATATGTGAAACTGGGCAGCTCATTCTGCATGGATATGTGTGAAAGTGGGCAGCTCATTCTGCATGGATATGTGTGAAAGTGGGCTTCTCTCGGCGAAGTATGACGGGTCCCAAAATGCAGGAAGACAAAGGGAAATGGTTGGAAATCGCATGAGAAGCACATATCGCGGAATGCCGCGCGTGCTGTGCAATGTACAATACCACTCACAGAACGGGAATTGCGCGAAATTCCAGAAATTTCGCGATTCCGGATTATCGTAAATTATGCAGCGCCATAACTTCCTTCGGAATTAATATATTCTAAATTCGAAAGCAGCACTGTGTTCATCTCGTCAAGGCGAATCTTTCTACATACGTCATGTCATCTATATCTTGTTTTCAGTTTTCTCAAATTGTTCTGAGGAGGTCCCTTTGCAAGTATGTAACGCAGCGCCTATCCAACTTGAAAGCTTCCAGTATGCACCATTCGATAGTGCTCTTCTTGTGCATTATAGTGCGCTAGTAAGCTGCCGCAGGCTTCTTTTCAAAAGAGAAAAAAGCGTTGGTAAATTCTGGAAAAATCACTCGTTTCCAGATTCTACTCGCCGTAACTTTCTTTGGAGTGGATATTTTCTAAATCCGAAAAATGCATTGTGCTCAGCTCATCAAGGCAAATCTTTCGGTATGCGGAATGTCCTTGATATCTCGATTTCAGTATTCTCAAAACTTTCTGCGGACGTTTCTTCGCAAAGGTGTGAAGCAGCGCGTATTGCCCCCAGTACATTCAGAAAGAAATTTTCGATAGTACTTCTTTTGTAGATTATGGAGCGCTGGAAAGTAGCCGCGTACTCCTTTTCAAAGGAGTTAGAAGGGCTGGTGAATTCTGGAAAAATCATGTCCTTCTAAATTTTTCTCAACGTAACTCTAAAATATGAAGCTCTCTTGCTAAGCAGATGTGATTTTCGTAACCAGCAGGTCGGATAACCCTTATGAGCATGTTTTCCAAGATGTTCAAGTAATTTCATTTTTTCTCGTTTTACGCTCTGAAGCTGGCCGATGGATTTTGGTCAAAATGTTCATGCTCTTAAATTGTAAGGAAACTTCGCTTATAGAGGTTTTCGAACACGCTCTTTACGAAAATCGTGGTCCTTGAGGATTACAGGGTCTTTTTGGTGAGATACGGTGAGGTGACTGTAACTGCATCACGAAAGTGCGTAAATTGGCCCGCACTTCTCGCGTATCTGTCAGCAACCTTGCCTGCTTGCTTTTCTCAGTCAAAGTTACTAGGAACTGCGCTACCGAATGGTGCATGAATCAGGCTCCAGTCTGTAAAAATCACCGAGTTACGAGCCTATGAAAACACGTCCTCATGGATTTTGCCCAAAATCTAAAGATGCAAATCTCGTCGAAGTTCCACCGTGAGCGCTTGTACAACACGCTGATCAAAATCTTTCGCGTCCTTAATGGATCTTATTGTGTTAGATTTAGTAGTTTGAGTTCTAGCCACTGAAATAGCTCTGATATTCAACTGAGTAGCTGAAGCATATGCAAGTACCATATTCAATACAGTGGGAGTTTTTGGGCGAAGCGAACACAATATCCGCAATGCGAGTGTCATACAAGCGCTCACGGAGGAATTTCGACGAGATATGCGATCTTTAGATTTTGGGCAAAATCCATGAGGACGTGTTTTCATAGGCTCGTAACTCGGTGATTTTTACAGACTGGAGCCTGATTCATGCACCATTCGGTAGCGCAGTTCCTAGTAACTTTGACTGAGAAAAGCAAGCAGGCAAGGTTGCTGACAGATACGCGAGAAGTGCGGGCCAATTTACGCACTTTCGTGATGCAGTTACAGTCACCTCACCGTATCTCACCAAAAAGACCCTGTAATCCTCAAGGACCACGATTTTCGTAAAGAGCGTGTTCGAAAACCTCTATAAGCGAAGTTTCCTTACAATTTAAGAGCATGAACATTTTGACCAAAATCCATCGGCCAGCTTCAGAGCGTAAAACGAGAAAAAATGAAATTACTTGAACATCTTGGAAAACATGCTCATAAGGGTTATCCGACCTGCTGGTTACGAAAATCACATCTGCTTAGCAAGAGAGCTTCATATTTTAGAGTTACGTTGAGAAAAATTTAGAAGGACATGATTTTTCCAGAATTCACCAGCCCTTCTAACTCCTTTGAAAAGGAGTACGCGGCTACTTTCCAGCGCTCCATAATCTACAAAAGAAGTACTATCGAAAATTTCTTTCTGAATGTACTGGGGGCAATACGCGCTGCTTCACACCTTTGCGAAGAAACGTCCGCAGAAAGTTTTGAGAATACTGAAATCGAGATATCAAGGACATTCCGCATACCGAAAGATTTGCCTTGATGAGCTGAGCACAATGCATTTTTCGGATTTAGAAAATATCCACTCCAAAGAAAGTTACGGCGAGTAGAATCTGGAAACGAGTGATTTTTCCAGAATTTACCAACGCTTTTTTCTCTTTTGAAAAGAAGCCTGCGGCAGCTTACTAGCGCACTATAATGCACAAGAAGAGCACTATCGAATGGTGCATACTGGAAGCTTTCAAGTTGGATAGGCGCTGCGTTACATACTTGCAAAGGGACCTCCTCAGAACAATTTGAGAAAACTGAAAACAAGATATAGATGACATGACGTATGTAGAAAGATTCGCCTTGACGAGATGAACACAGTGCTGCTTTCGAATTTAGAATATATTAATTCCGAAGGAAGTTATGGCGCTGCATAATTTACGATAATCCGGAATCGCGAAATTTCTGGAATTTCGCGCAATTCCCGTTCTGTGAGTGGTATTGTACATTGCACAGCACGCGCGGCATTCCGCGATATGTGCTTCTCATGCGATTTCCAACCATTTCCCTTTGTCTTCCTGCATTTTGGGACCCGTCATACTTCGCCGAGAGAAGCCCACTTTCACACATATCCATGCAGAATGAGCTGCCCACTTTCACACATATCCATGCAGAATGAGCTGCCCAGTTTCACATATATCCATGCAGAATGAGCTCTTAAACTATACCTGCCCTATTTCTGCTGTGCTCAATAGAATGTGTACGTATCCTCTGGAATAAGCACACTGAATGGTCCATTTACACTAAAATTCCAGGAAAGAAACTTATATCCCACAACTAGGCACATCCGTATACTGGAAGATGCGCCTCGCCGAGCTGAGTTGAATGGTACTCTTATATATAGAATTCATAAATTTTGAATCAAGATAAGGTCTTTTTTTATAAAAAGTTAGGCGTTGCGCGACAAAGTTAGGTGACTTTGGCCGCTTTTCCGCCGACTTTTGCCGCGCGACGCGGCAAAAGTCACCTAACTTCGGCGGCGCCGCGTAAGTTAAGTGCCGCCGCCATTTTTTTTCACAAATTACGGGTGGTATTGTACATTCTCGGCTCCAGTCGATTCATCACTTTTCAAAATAACAACCTTCTCGTTTGCTTCTTTCGTCTTTCAGTTGCAAGTCTGACTCTATGCTAATTTTGACGAAAACTCAATTTCAGAATTTTGGCTGCCTCTGCGATTAGATGAACCCACTGGCTAGCCATGGAGACGACCCAAGGGACATAGACTTTTTGACGCTCCAATTCATCAGTGTCATAAGTCACTCTTGTTATACTCAAGAATGATGAGTGTGATCGCTATGACATTTACAAAATCAAATATGTTGATGGAGTGGACTTACTATGGCCTGGTAAACTTTGAGAAGCTTCTAATTATTATTTTTATCTTGATTACATATTACATCTTTTTACCAAAGTAGTATCTGACACACCAAAAAATAGCTAGAAACTTCTAATATGTGTTAACAAAAAGATAGAAGTGTTTGCTTACTTTACTCCCTGCGAATTGAAATCATCTCTATTTACAACAGCACAGTTGGTTACTGCTAGTTCATCCGTAGGACATTTGCGCACTTTCATATGAATCTGAACGAAAATGTATGACTAGTGGAAAATTCAAAAAAAAAACTCACGGCGCTCATGATGGAAGAGACAAGTTTGGGCTCTAGCAAGAAGCCTGAAAATAATACTGAATCTGTAATGATACAATGCTTTTACAAAAGTGCGAGAGTTGTGCGACAGAACTGTGTGGATTCACAAAAGTTACAATAGTACTTATTCGGCAGATGAACAAATATAAACGCTACGAGTTTTCAGAGCACGAAGGGAGATTCGTAACTACTACATAAATTTGTAGCAGATGCTGAAAACAAGAAGAGAGGTAATACAACAACAACAACAACCCTTAAGGAGTGTTCAATAATCATCTTTTATTCATGGCAAGTGTGGTGCTCAGAAACTTCAAAGCACTATTTCAAGCAATAAATTGTAAGAAATATTTAGGGCTAACTGTCATATATGTGCAGGTGCATATATAACATAATTTATGGTGCTCTTCCTTTCCTTTCTTCAAATATGCAGATTGCAGGAAATGCTCTCCCTCATTTCTATGCCGCATTCTAAGAGCTCAAGAGATGTTTTCCCTCAATATCCCCACTTCACAAAGAAGATACCCTTCCTTCATTTATGGTCGCTTCAGCATCCTCAGAAATTTGAAGAACAAGAACAACAACGCTGTAAATTCGGACCGTTTTCAAAATATTTTGAACATAAACAAGAAGATTAGAATGGACTTATATAATCGCATGCTTTTAGGCAAATGGTTATTATGTTTTTTCTGTTCACAAGGTGTCCCAAAAGTACGTACAATGTTTGAACATTAATATCTCTCTTCCTATAAAGTCCCCCTATTTTCAGGTACTATTATATAAAGCTGGCTTCAGCTTGGATTCACTGTAAAGCGAACCACCGACCGCTCTTCATTACTGTACAACTACGGTAGAAACTTCCGGCTTTTGCGCTTTTGTGATTCAACTGCCAAAAATAAGAAAAAATAAAAAATTTGAACAGTTGTGCACCAGGACTTTCACGCAAGCTGATTCCTTTGAGGTTTTTTAAGCAGTGTAAGTTCAAGGTGCATAGAAGAAACGGTTGTATGTTATACTTGGCATAACTTAAAGACTAAATTTTGTTTGTGGTGTGCATATTGCACATTTAAAATCGGTGACTCCACTAGTCTAGTATAAGTGTTTCGAAGGTCTTTCGTTCTCGTTCTGAAGTAAATTATGGCTCCCGATAGCTCAAAACCCTCTTAAAAGTTCTTACCGTAATACTACAGTAAAAGAGGGATCGTCGATTCGCTATATGCTGTAAATCTGAGTTGAAGCCAGCTCTAAAAACGGTACCTGAAAGTGGGCAAAAGACTTCTTGGGAAGAGAGATACTATCAAACAGTGCATGCATACTTTTCAGACACCCTGTAAAGCAAAAACACACTAATGGTCCGTTATATGCATCACCTTTATTTTAGCATGCAAATATTTTAAGGACTTGTTCGGCCAAACTCTCTTCCAAACTTCTAAAATTTGAGTCAAGAAAAGTACAGATCTTAACCCTCAAAATGAAGAAACAGAATCTAAGAAAAAACCGAGCTTAAACTTTTGACACATGAGTGGCCCAAAAAGCAGACATGAGACAGAATACCAAAGGGCATCGGTTTTCTTTTACATTTGAATGAGCATTATGCCATGCCACCTGACATCAAAGGGCGCACCTTCTCGTTGCATGAAACGCCTTAATTCTGAAAGAACAGCATGATTTTCCACAAACGAAGTCATCATTAGAAAATCATTTAGAGATAAATGTATGCACTAATCAGGCATGCTTTCGCAGTCGAAAATTTTTTTTCTGACAATGCAATTTACGAGATTTTTCTATTTTGTACACATCCTACCCCGAGTAATGCATTTGTGCATTGACTCTAGAGATCCATACCGCCAATGACACATCTTTGAGTCATCATTTCTGAAGTGTCAAGAAGTGATAGGGAGGTGATATAAACCAAGAACGAAGATGCACAAGATCTTACAACCAGAGGAAGGGCGAGCACTGCTGGCTTTTGAACAAATTCAACAATAAACCTCTCAAGCAAAGCAAGCGCAAGAACATTCATATCATTTTTCTCAACAAAATTTTAGTCAATGGTCATCTAACAAGGTTCGTCGCTAGATAAGCCTCAGCAGTCTTTTGACAATGAATCGAGGAGACTTTGTGGCTTCTCCTATGAACATACAGTTGGGAAAAAACTCGAAACATACAATGCATTCTGGATATTACTTTTTTTTTATTTTCATATTCAAGAGGGTGTATTCAGCTGCAACGTCTAGTGACGTTTAAAAGTGTTCAAATAATAGTCTTTAATCTTTGAAATGCTTGATTTTCCGTCCTTCGATCAAACGGTGATCTATTTAGGGTGGGTAGAAAAGATGGAGCGTTGAAATCCACAACTAAACTACTGGATTTTTCTCACCTCAAGTCAAAAACACCAAGAGACAATACGAATATTTTCCCTTGCTGATATGAAGAATGCAGCATTCTCAAATTTCTTCAGAAGTTTCTTGCAATTTCCCAGCGACACATTTGAAAATGAGCTTCAGCAAGGATAGTGTTTCCGGCAGAGCATAAAATGCTTTAGTTCGCTAAAGTGCTCGAGTGGAAAGAGAGCATGGCGAAGTCCACTTCTATACTTAAACGTCTCCAGCTTCCTTATTTTCATATCGAGCTTCAGAAATGCACTAAATGTTGTTTTCGACGTATGCTAGTGAGTGATGGGAACGCCTCTGATAAGTACTAGCGACAGCGCTGATCCCTCACCATGTAAGTGGACGAGAGAGACGTAGACGAGGCTGAGGAATGAAGATATCTGCGGACAAGATTAAATCAAAACTGATGTCTTTCCAGCATCGGTTTTCCGACGCACTCCATTCGACATTCTTCCTTTTGCTCATTACTGCTTAAGACGTCAGCACTTCCAAAAAACCGATGCCCTGCCTACCCAAAAAGTTATTTTTCCCTAATCTAGTGAAAAGCTCTAAGCAGCCAAAATGAAAAGATGAAAGTTGAGAACCAAAAGCGCAAATATGGTAACATTGCATAAAGAAATAACCGAAAAAAAACAATAAAGGTGTTTCAAGATTAGCTGTGGTATAAAAAGTAAAATTCATTCGAATACGTGAAAAAAGCATTCAGGTTCCAAGTCAATGCGGAACATCAAAGTACGAATCTCTGAGGAACTGAATGCAAACCCAAGAAGGACCAGATCTCACAAAAACTGTGAAAAAAGTAAAATCTAAGGCAGATGAAAACTAAGCTAGCGCAATCAAAGAAGCAGTATATAATATGAAATAGGGTTGCAACAGATAAATACGATGATTCGCTCTGGTTTTGGGACAAGGGAGATTATAAAAGTAATCTAAGCAAATTTCATCCACCAGATCTCAGCAGAACTGAGAGATACAGATTCTTACGTTACGTTTGTACAAAGGATTCCGGGAAAAATATAACAAGCCATAAGTCAACTGAATCTATGTCAATAGCCAAGAATAGCAAGTTTGAGTATAGTATTATATTTGAGCCCGCTATAGTGATATTGAGCCAAGCTCAAACTGTAGGCATGAGAGAAGAAGTGACCATGCATAAACTAAAGAACTTGCGCAAAGTCGTGATACATCGAACGAAACAGACTTGCAATAAGAATATTAGTGCTCAAACTTCAGTGAGCACAAGTATTCTGACATGCGAACATTTTCTCTTGACGTATAGCCGCACCGAAATCAAACTATACATCATTTCCACCTTACAATCAGTATCGGTTTGTCTTAGATAACATTTAGAATTCCTGATTTTCCTCAAATTCAGGTCGCGCTGCATTTGAGCGCCAAGAACAGAGAGATTTGAATGGAGCCGCTAGTTCAAAACTTTGATTGGTTTACATCCAAACGCAGAAGTAGTACGGAAGCAATATTACGGAAACTGCAAAGTGGTGACAGGATTAGGAATAGCCAGAAAAGCGATTTCTGTTCGATATCGCATTATATCTTGGATTGTTGAAATTAGCTGACAACCGACATGATCCAAAACAAGACGAAGAAGTCCTCTGTATAGGGTTTTGCTTCATCAAGGGAAATGGGGGGACTAGTCCGCTGGGGCATGTGAAGAGGAGCGATTTTTGTTTCTAGCCATACATGCGTAGCAACAGATCTTCGCAATGTTCTAAAAAATTTGCAATTCAAGGAGGTACACTAAATGGAAGCATAAAAATTGAGAACTCAACTAACACAAATCGCAAATATTTCGGCCAATTTACTAATAAAAGCGTAATTTCAGCAGGTGGCAAATATGAACAGCTAGTAAAGTAAAGCACTTTATCTTACATATTTTGCAGCGCATAGCACTGAAATGAACTTTTGGAGGATTCCAGCACCAAGGCACCTTAGAGAGATAACGAGAGAAGGACAGCGTCAAAGCTGAAAGCCACACAACAAAAAGTTTGCAGACGTGGTGGAGGATGTACATAAAAGGGCAACCAACACAGATTCAAGAGGTAAACGCAAAGCGAAATGACGAGCATTACTCTAAAAGAGAAAACAAATGCGTGATTCACATTTGCAAAGACTGCGATGGCGGCTTAGAGCCGGAGCCAAAGCACCAACATAGGCATTGTGTATTCAAGCGGCTGGTTTACGAATGGAGACTGAGGGCAAATGCGGATCGATGTGTTGGCGGCATGAGAAGCGGCACCGCTTCCTCAATCGAAACTCGACAATAAGCTAATTTTTCGCAATATTAACGAGACTGATGCAGAATAGGAAGGTAGTGGAAAACAACGATGCTATTTATCATCTGTCACAAAAAAGTAAGAAACGAGCAACAACGAAAAAATGACCGAATTTCGATTGCAAATGGACCAAACGATGTATAGATACTTTCACAGGAACAAAATGACTCACCCAAGACCAAATAAACGCCGGAAAACTCAGTTACAAAACTTCGCGACGTGTTCATGCTCCAAATTTAACGCGTCTCAGGCGGAATGCCCTGCAATTCAGGCTGCAGGACGGCTCTTTTTTGAATATTTCCGCAATTGCGCCGGACGGTTATTCCGCAAAGATTCATTTTTTCCTCGTCGTAATGGTGGAATTTTCTAGCAGTTGTTATCATTGTTTTCCACCAACGTTTCTCGTGATTTTCCAGCCTTCCGTTTCATTTTAAAGTTCCTCCAAAGTTATTTCGCGTTAATCCCTCAAAACTGGCATATTTGTCATCAACTGTGTCATGTACTGTCCATCTGTCCTTTGATATTAGTAGATAAGGCACATGTGATAATTATTGCAGATTTTATACATAGTCTGGGTTCGTTGTCAAAATGGCCCAATTATTGTTAGACGTACTGCAGAAAACAATATCCCAAAGTAAGCTTTATGTTTTCCACACTGAATTATGGTCTAGTTCCGTTTCTATGTCCAAATTATTTAAACCTAATTTTCAGACCAAGAAGATCAAAAGCGAGCGCTTGAATTTCTCAACGAGGCTTCTTCACGAGATTTCGTAAGTTTGCTTTGAAACAAGTTCGATTCACTTTGGTCTTCTCGAACTGTCATTACAGCCTGCATTTGTCAAAGAGTTGAGTGTAATATTGCGATCAGAAGAATGCCAACCGTTTGCGCGACAAGCCGCTGGTCTGCAGTTGAAAAATGTGCTCTATGCCAAAGAAGAAGAAAGGCGCGCTCAATATCTAAACAGGTAGATCTATTTTGTACTTTTTCCGTTATTTCTTTGCCAAATACGCATTTTAAGGTGGCTAGCACTTCCCGCTGATATACGAACACAAGTCAAGTTGCTTGTAGTACAGACACTTGGTACAGAGCCATTCCGACCATCCATCGCTGCGCAATGTGTTGCAGCCATCGCTTGTGCTGAACTTCCGTCTGGTGTGAGTTTTACTTCGACTTTCATATCTTGGAAGATCATAGCATGTATCCGCTTTCGTAGCGGGGCGTGTTTATCAGTTTTTTGATGGGAACGCCAGCTCATACATCTTTCTAGGCCAGTTGTCACCATGATTTTTTGAACTTCCTCACGCGCTCATGAGTTTGTTAAAAACTTTTCACGCTTATGACCATGAAGTGCCTTTTTATTAGGAACATATCTGTTCATTCAAAGTAAAATCGTATCTTTTTGGAAGGTTAATTTCCTGCGGTTGAGCTTTTCGATGTGAAATTTTTGCAGAAGAGAAATCAGTTTTTAGTTTTTTGTTGAATTCTTCGAAATTTTGGCAAATTTCTAACTTGCTGTTGATTATTTCAACCTCAGACTACATTTTAATTACAAGCTCCGAATTTTCAAAAAAATTCTGAGAAGGTACAAAACAAGTTTAAGAGAATCTTTGAAACAGAAAAAAAAGAAGTGATCCCATCACAAAATGTCCTCTTATAGTTGTAGCTCATTTCCGTGAAGGTGAAAATGATGCACATGAACAGCTTTTTGTCTCTTCCTTTTTGACCACAGAGTCTTTCTCGGAATACCTAGCATGTTCAGAGGAAGATAGAAAATGTGTAGCAAGGACTTATGCTGAACCTCATGTATTTGGACCGCACCACAGAATAGCACTTCATGTACTGTTTTAGACATCACTATTGTTGGAAATAGCTAATTTTGATGTTGCGATTTTGAACTATAGCGGTGGTATAAATAAAGTTGACAGTTTATGGGGTTCTTTGTTCGCATGATCAGTCCAACTCGTGCTTCAATAATTATTAGAAATGCCGTGCTGCTACAAAAGTTTGATTTACCAGAATTTCTTATGGGTTTTGGCTTCGATTCTTCACATGACATTTGAGCGTTTTTTTTCAATCATCTGATGACTTTCAGCACTGGCCTGACGTCATCGATGCGCTTCGAACCAGTGTCACAAATCCAGCCAGCACAGCATCGTTGAAAGAATCATCTCTCGAAACATTGGGATACATCTGCCAGGATATTGATGCCACGGTATGTAGCAGCACCTATCCTCGTTTTTTGCTATTTGCATATCTTAACTCTCCATTATTCTGTAAGAGGTCATTTGAGCTTGTGTTTTGATCGTCATTTTCATGTGTCGAAACACGTCCTTTCTACTTTTCTCAACTCTTTCTTTCGAGGTTTTGGAGCAGCAGTCGAATTCTATCTTGACTGCAATTGTACATGGTATGCGAAAGGAGGAACCATCCGTCCATGTCCGGCTTGCTGCTACCAATGCTCTTCTGAACTCATTAGAGTTTACCAAGAGAAATTTCAGCATGGAGGTATATGCTTTTGAGTACGCTTTTTCATCATGGGTTAAACGTTTCATGTGTTACGTTGCGTTTTAGCTGATATGATTCTTTTGTTTAGCAGAAAGTGCCTAAGAAATTATTCCTTCTGTTTTCTAGGCAGAACGGCATATCATAATGCAAGTTGTGTGCGAAGCTACTCAATGTGCTGATACACTCGTGAAAGTTGCTGCGCTGCAGTGTTTGGTTCGGATAATGTCGTTGTATTACCAGTTTATGGAGCAGTACATGGGATCAGCTTTGTTTGCGGTAAGCGCGCTTTACCGCTGCGTTTTGGTGTAATACTCCGTTGCGTTGCTTCCGAATGGTTAGGCTTTAGATCTCTCTCCAAGCAATCAACTCCGAAGTTCCTGAAGTGGCTCTGCAAGGAATAGAGTTTTGGTCTAATGTTTGTGAAGAGGAAATAACGCTAAGTCTTGAAGCTGAGGAGGTACGTAACGTCACGTCAGTTCAGCTGCAACACTTTCAACCTTTTTGCTGCTTTATATTTTTCTCCATTAGCCGCAGTCAAGGGTTTTCGTTCGAATCTACCCTTCTCCTGACGTTCTCCTGTTTGCGATCATCCGATAGATCTCTTTAGGCCGCCGAGAATAATCGTGTGCCTGAGCAGGTATCTAGACATTATGCCAAAGGAGCTGTTCCCCACATCTGTCCTATCATGCTGGAAATTCTTACTCACCAAGGTAAGCTGGTGCCATTTGTTCTTTTGCTCTCCCGAATCTTTCGTTTTCAAACTCCATTGCTTCGAAGTTATAGATGAGAACGATGACGATGATGATTGGACTCCATCCAAAGCCGCTGGTGTGTGTATAATGCTGATGGCACAATGTGTTGGCGACACTATACTTGATCCTGTGATGCCGTTCTTGAAACACTTTAGTAGCACAAATTGGAAATATAAAGTGAGTAATCTTTTAGTGTTTCTTCTGCGCAGTTCTTCATGAGACGATATTGAGCTATGATTTTTCCAGGAAGCAGCTATCATGGCATTTGGAAGCATCCTGGATGGTCCTGATCCGAATAAGCTGATGAGTCTTGTTGAGCAAGCGATGCCAGCTCTTATCGATAGTATGGCGGAGAAAAATGTGGGTATCCAATGTTTCATTATATTTTCTCACATTCGTAAAAAGCTACAATAGTATAATCGGTTTCGATCTAAAGTCATATCTGCTAAGGACACTGATGCTTTTGTATTTTTTTATCAGAGTTTTCGCAACTTTAGAAGGCTGTAATTATCCGTTCCAGGTTACCATTCGTGATACTTGTGCATGGACCATTGGGCGAGTACTAGAAATATGTCCAGAAGTAGTGAATAAAGACGGTACACTAGCGCGCCTTCTTCCTGCGCTCAGCCAAGCGCTTCATCAAGAGCCACGCGTCGCTGCCAATGTTTGCTGGGTAATTCATACCTGATTTTTTGTTCCGTGTTATCTTCATAGAACCCTGGATTTTTGTGTGGTGTTTCAGGCCCTAGTAGCACTCGTGAAAGCCGCATATGACATGGCTGCCAGCCAAGGTACTGATAGCTCAGGACAGCCCGAGACTTACGTCCTCTCACCTTGCTTCGAGGCGATGATTACTGAGTTAATTAAGACAACAGATAGGTAAAATTTGTCAATGTTGTCAATGATTATGGATGCAATGCATTAGTTTATTAGAATGCCGTCAGATAATAAAGGATTTCATTATAGAACGGACGGAAACCAATCCAATTTACGTCTCGCTGCTTTCGAAACGCTTATGGAGCTTATAAAGAACTCTCCCAAAGATTGCTACCCAGTTGTGCAAAACACTACTGTGTTGATGTTGAAGAAACTGGAGCAATTGCTGAATATGGAAGCGACGACCACCTCAAGCTCCGACAAGGTAACTTACAAGGGAAGTTCACTTAGTCGAAGTGATTCGGAAGGAGATCTATACCAGTGGATAGAGCTTAAAAAGCTGATTTCAGATATGCCTTCTATATCTGCGATGCGTTGTTCTGAAAGAAGTTATGAGCTTTTCTGAAGCCAAATTTTCGTGCGTTTCAAATCCTAAAATCATGATAATCACTACACAAAAGTGTGCAAGCTTAAGCAAGCCGCCTAGTTGGCATTGTAGGTCTAATTCGAGTTCATCCGAACGTTTTCGAGTGTTTTCCGACCATGTTGTTTATCCACAGGCCGTCATTTCCTCCCTACATCACACTTCCATTATATATACAAAAAACCCCATAACCTCCATCTAGAAAAGCGCGTTGCAGATATTGAAGAAGTATTTGAGAACATCTTTTTACGTTCTATTCATTGGTAGTTTCCAAAAAGTTTCCGACGCGACACGTTTTTCTAGATGAAGGTTATGGGGCTTTTTTGTATACATAATGAATGTGATCTAGAAATGAAATGACGACCTTGGATGAACAACATGGTCAAAAAACATTCGAAAGCGTTCGGATGAACTCGTATTAGAACTAAAGTGCTTAGTAGGTGGTTTGGTCAAGCTTGCACACTTTTGTGTGGCGGTTATCATGATTCTGCGATTCAAAATGCACGAAAATTTGGCTATAGAAGAGCTCATAACTTTTTTCAGAACAAAGCATCGCAGATATAGAAGGTATATCTAAGATCAGCTTTTTAAGCTCTATTCACTAAAAATAGATCTCCTTCCGAATCGCCACTTCGACTAAGTGAACTTCCCTTGTTAGACACTCATAACACGTAATGTCTACTTCTCAAGTTTTTCTTTCCAGAACCAACTGATGGATCTTCAATCGTTGCTTTGCGCAACGCTGCAGTCTGTTCTACGAAAAATGCGTTCCGAAGATGCGGCTTTGGTTGGAGAACATGTAATGAATGGGCTTGTGCAGATCATGAACCGCACCTCCAACAATAAGGGCGGAGGAAGTGTGATGGAGGAAGCTCTGTTGGCGGTTTCTGTTCTTGCCGAAAGTAAGCATATGCTTCTTTTGTTCTACATCTTCATTACATCTCTCTGCAGCGCTCAACAACGGTTTCCTACCCTATGTTGACGCTTTGAAGCCACATCTGATGAGAGCCTTGGTCAATCATGAAGAACCACAGGTAGCTTTGAAGATTTGCTCCATCCATATCCATATCGCAACTTCCGTAGGTGTGTGCCGCTGCTGTGGGTTTGGTTACGGATATGTGTCGCGCCATCGAAGTAAACATAGCGCCCGCTCTCGATGACATCATGAATACTCTAGTTCAGAGTCTGCAGGTGGACTTTTTTGTGCTTAGATGTGTTGGGGAATCACTGCAGTAATCCTCAGCATCAGTATGAGAATGCGAAATTTCCGTCTTTTCGCAATCATGAAAACTGCCCACGTTTAATCGTTTTCTTTGCTCGTTCAAACCTAAAATTGCCCGTTTTAGAGCCCTCGTTTGGACAAAGATGTAAAAGTGACCATACTCGGCTGCTTCGGAGATATTGCCCTGGCAATCGGCGAGCATTTTGAACGCTACATACAAATCGTGATGTCAATGCTCATCGAAGCTTCAACGGCTGCAGTTGTCACGAATCCGGTATGTGTATCAGGATCTCATGCAACATTCTTGTAAAGCGTGAACGATTAGAGAGAATTTGCGCTCTTATCCTAAAGGACTGGTAGAGCTCAGATGTTTGTCTCTGTAGTCCCCATTGCAGCTCATCTAGCTTTCGAAAAGTTGCAACGCAGGACGAAGGGAATCCCCATAGTGTGAAAAGGAAGATAAGATTGACTAGCAAGGTCGTCGGGGTTACGAGAAAGACCGCTGCCATTTTGACCTGGTCAGTGGGCAGCGCGGGAGCATGAGGTCGCGACTTACCTGTAAACAACCTGGGTCAGAATTGAATAGGTGTTTTTTTTTTCAACGCAGATTTTGCTTCATTGTAAAGGAACCTAGCTCTTGATAGGAAATATTCTGGTTGTCTCTGGCCAATTTTACCGCTAAGAAAACATTGTTTTTGTAAAATGCTTGATGTGCATGGCATGTGTGGTGAGGTCATGTTGTTTACGCGGAAGCGGTCGATGGCGCAATCGGAGGTCGCGAACTCCTTGCTGTGCGTGAGGGAGATGGAGAGGTCAGAGTGATACGCAGAAGGCACATAATGATAATGACTATGACCCAAAGTCTCGAAGGACATCGTGAGTGACAATGTTCTTCTTCTAGCATGATTACGACCAAGTGGATTATGTGGACAAGTTGAGAGAAAACTGCGTTACCGCATACACTGGTATTTTGCAAGGAATGCGGCCAGCCGGCTCTGAAACCGATCCTGAAAAGGTTGGCGTTTTGCAAGAACGTACTAAAATATTTTTAGTCTGCTCATGTAAGCAGTTACACTTGAAAACTTGGTTGCTTTTTTTATAATTGCATTTTTTTAAATGATTTGGTATATTGATTCTTTTGATTCTAGTTGAACCAGGCCAAGCAGTCACTCAGCCGATTTGTACAACCCATGTGCGAAATGATAGCCAAGTATGTCACTGCAATTTCACTAATAAAGTGTCAAATGAGCTGAAAATAGGTGTTGTGAGACTCATCCAGTTCCTCCTTCTGATGGCCTGGTCGCTACGGTAGCGGGATTGATAGGTGATCTGGTCGTACTGTATGGCAATCAAATCACTCCCACTTTGAATAATGAAAAGGTAAAGCGAATGACTCATATGTAAACTAATGCAAGACATTTTGTTAAGGTGAGTGCCCTGCTTGGAAGAGGACGGAAAAGCCATACGGCTAAGACGAAGTCTGTTGCCGTCTGGGCCACGAAAGAAATGCGGAAAGCAATGACTGTTCCAATCCCGGCTGCGTCGTGATAGGCGCAGCATCCACAGCCCCCCTTATCCGAATCTATCTCCCTTGCACCTTTCAAGCATTGTTTACAAAATTTCCTGTGAGAGAGTCGTGTGAGAGATCATATTGTTTGCGGATATTGTTTATGCTTCAACACCTTTGATAGAATCGCCTTTGTTCGTATTTACCGCTGCGGGTCCCCACTGTGTTTCGCATCCAATTTTCAAAGCAAGTTTGACTTACAAACTCATATTCTCCAATTTTGGCTCATCAAATTCTCATGCAATTTCGTCATTTCCACAAATTAAGCCGGTTGAATACGAGTAACGCGTCCCAGTGAGTGAAAGATATCTCTTGTTTGTATAGGAATGCTAGTGTGTTTTTTAGGTTGTTACCTGTTGATGAACTAAACTTATTTCACATCTTCGTTTTGTTTTTTGTTCCCCCCACTTGCTCAACTGTACTCCTGCTAGCCGTTTCGTCGTCTCTTCATAGTTACTATTTATTTTCAAGAGTGCTTTAATCACGTGCGAGTGTGAAAAGGCTTGGCATCGTTTTTATCCTAGTCACTTCACTCCAGTTTCTTCCTACAAATCTGTCTTAGTCTTTGCTAAAAATGATGCCGTTGTTATGTATGTGAGAGGTTTGTTTGTTGTGCCCCTCCCCATCTCAAATGTTGAATTTTTGTGATTTTGTAGGTATGAAAGCAGTGTGGACTGTTTGAGTTTCCTCCAAGATTTGCCATCTGTTCAATGAACTTGTTCCCACTCCTTTTCGGCAAGAATGAATTATTCAAAAAATGCTGTATTGTTTACATCGACAAGGTAGTGTAAGTGTAATCGTTAAATTCACTAGTGTACATAGTTACTTTTTAGTCAAGTATACAGACGCCCAAGTCCTTTGGTTAATAGGCATCACCCTTTTCAATCCAAACTATCACTAATTTTGTTTTTTCTTTCAAAATTATTTCTCCTTATACACTTTGACACTCGAAGAATCAGATATAATTACAATAGAACAAGCATCATTTAATTTATGGAAATTTTCAATTGCATGGGAGACGCATGGCTGTCTGCTTTTGGGAAAATGTGCTGCCAGAGAAACCTGGATGGAAAAACAGCTTTTCAAAAAATTTTCCTTCGCAGTATAGTAATTCACTCTAATGTAAACTTCAAATATCTAAGTTGAATCACATTACGTAAATGTATTTTTTTCACACGATGTCCATTATACCGCTAACTGAAAAGTTTTTGGAGTAAGATATATGTGGTGTATAAGGAAATCAGAAGACTCTTGTAGAATCTTCTCTTTTTCAAACAGATGAAGAATATTTTGACGATATAAAGCTATGCAATAGACGGTTCTATTTCACACAAAGTTCATTCTTTATAAAATTCTGAACACACATTACTGAAAACAATCCTATAAATAAGTACAATCGAGATTTACCCTTCTTCTCACCCGAGTACACGCACAACTTTGATCATACTCGTCTCTTCAATGAGCAACATAGTAAAATACAATGATTATCTGAGCAAAAACAATTTACCCGTTTTTAATGAGATTCTAATGTTAATTGAGATAAGTATGAGAGATATTTGTTACAATCAGATCATTCATCCAATAATGGCAATTTGAACAACATTCTAGTAAATTTATTGGAGTTTTCCTTATCCGGACTACTGATTCGAATCTGGGCTTGTAGGCATTCGCTGAGCTTCATCGTCACATTGTCGCTTCCATGCATTCCACTTGGTTGAGCGATGTGAATGGCAGAGAGCAGAGCGAGCTCTTCCATCTGAATATCGGAGAGGCCACTTCGAAGTCGCTCTAGGAGAGCTGGACAATCGATGGACGAGCTTTCACCGGGGACGAAAGCAGCACGTAATAACTAAAAAGGAATTCTAATATTATCATTGGGATCTTGAAAGCCTCTAATTTTCAAAATTCCCTTTTCCATAAGCACGGGTGCCTTCTCCCTATGATAGTTGCATTTTTGAAAAATTCAGATTACTATCCAAAAACCTTATTTTGGGGCATATGCTACTCTGTTCTTTTCTTTCTGGAAATTTCTGAAGGATCATTCATTGGCGAGATAATTTCTGACTTACTCCACCTCCCTCCTCTCTTTTCCAGAAAAAGAATTTCACGGCCACCATTTACATTTGTAAGCCTTCTTCCCAAGTCATTTACCGTACACTTACCATGCAAATCCGCGCTCCTTTATAAATCTCAAAAGGATGTGATGTAGTACCAATTTTCGCATTTACTACAGAAATACATCGTCATCTACCGAAAATAACAAAACCCAAGGCATAAAATATTTTTGAAAATCCAAATCAACTTCATAGAACATTTTTCTTTGAAGCGACCCCAAACTCGCTTTTCTCAAAATTTTACAAGCCTTTTGAAATATTCGTTAGGGACTAAGGTTTTGGTTGCGTTTCTTTTCGTCCTCTCTCTTCACTACCCCCCCCCCCCTCCAATAGTTTTAACTTACCATGCAACCTCGCGCTCCCTTTTGTATCTTTGCTGAGAGTTGATCTTCTGGATATTCTTTGAAAAGGGAAACTTTCGAGACGAACTGTCGGATTCGAGAGGTGAAATCCTGAAAATGCAAGATTTCAATTTTTGCACTGATATGACTATTTTTTTTAGGGATTCACCCTTTTCTATGGCTTCTAAAATTGTATAAGGCTAAAAGCTTACCTCCTGTATCCCAGGTTGTCCAAAGACTTCCCTGTAAGCCGTGGTGACCTCGTCAACAGTGTTCATCAGCGATCGTGTTTCATCCAACTCGGAATCCTTCTCTTCATCTCTTGTTTTCCTTTTTCTTGTTCGATCCTGCCGGACGGATTCCTGCAGCAACAGAAAACTTCAGAGCTGTACAAAATTTTTGGTAAATTGCTCTTACCTTGGTCATGCCCTTGTCCAGACATTTTTGGAAGCGACAAGCTTGACAACGATTTCGACTAACTCGATCGACGGGACATTGCTTCTCCTTATGGCATGTGTAGTCCATATTTTTCTGCACAGTCCGTCGGAAGAAACCCTACAAAGAAATCATTGTCACTTTTGGTCTCTTAATTAGTACTTAAAGCCTTTCTGTAATAATTCGCACCTTACAACCCTCACAGCTCATTACTCCGTAGTGATAACCGCTGGCGTTATCGTTACAGACAACACAGATATCCCTCTGACTCGATTCGTTTACTGGCATCCCCATGGTAAAAAATTGCTGCATCTAAATTTCGAATCATTTTTTTCTCACATCTAGACTTCAAGTTTTATTTACCCTGTACTGATCCGGGTAATTGCCCGCTTGCGCGGGTCGTTGTGGGGTAAGAGGTCCCGAAGGACCTGGCGGGAGGCCAAAGTTTTGGAGTTGTCCCAGGGGAGCAGGTGCTGCAATTAAGTACAATCGATTACACTATGCTAAGATTACCAAACTAGGGCACAATCTCCTATGGCACAATGATCTAATTAACCTACGAATAGAGTATCTTATACCTTGAACGGGAGGGAAGTGGAAATTGCTCATTTGTAGCTGATGATGGAAATTCTGGTAAGCTTGTGGAGTTATTCCTGACGGTCTCATTGGAGTTGGTGTATGGATAGGTTGGAGTTGAGCCGGTGGAGCTAGACTAGGCTTGACTTCAGGCTTGAGTTCTGGTTCGTGTTGTATGGATGTTGGGCCAGGAATGGGTGGTTTTGCTTTTGACACGATGTCTGCTTTTAGGAGCGCTGATACTGAGAATGAGTTGGACCTGAAATGATGCATAATCACTGGAAAATACCGCTTAAGAATCAGAAATTTGACTTCGCCCGCCAATATTTTTTGAGATGGAAAATATCAATGAAATATTTCAACCTAGTCCTAAAACCTCATAAATTAGATCCAGCAAAGGAAATTTCATCGAATTTTCAAATCATTGACACCATAAATGTTAGAAGTCAAAGAAGATTAGAGTGGCAATAGAGTTTTCAATAGAAAGATGCAAAATGGTGGAGTAGAAGCTGTACTATAACAAAATGGAATATAGAAGTGAAACAAGAATTTAACTCTTCAAATCTGAAAAAAAATTAACCAGTATTCTTTGAGAGTAGTATCTGAATAGAAGGAACAACAATCAAAAGTGTTGAGGCAAAAAATGCGTATTCATATAGTTCTTTATTTTTAGCAAGCAAGCAGAATATTGTTGAAAGAGTTGCAGGGAAGGATAAAGAACAGATGATGAAAATAAAAAGCTATACCTTGAAGAATCCTTTGAAGAAGTGCCAGACGGGGTAGGTGAACCAGCGTAACTCAACGACTCATTACCGGAATCTCTGCAAAATTCAAATAATTAGGAAGGAAAAGAAAGTTGGGTATTACAAGAGAGTAAAAAAATTTCAAAATTAAAAAAGATTAGTTCTTTTACCTGTCTTCACTAATGTGATGCATCCTTTTGGCCAGATGCTCCATATCCAAACTGGGAGGCTTCATTTGCCCCGTCTGTCCCGATGTGGAAGGATGTCCAATGTGATGAAAAGCGAATTCAGGTGGTGGAAAAACTCCATTTAGATAGGGTTGAAACATATGGGCGAGCATAGCAGGTGGGTAAAGCGATGAATTGGGAGGAAGCTGTCGCTGAATGCCCATTCCTGGTAGGGAAATCGAAGGACGTTGGGCAGATTGCAGACCAGCAGGCGGAATCCGGAGCGGACTCTGTTCCGCGATCGGCTCGTGAGAAGGTTGCATGGCGCGCAATAGCGGTGACCGAAGGAATGCCGGACGGCCCCAGGTTTGCGTTACGCAACGTGGGGCGTGGCTATTAACCAGCAGCTGATGTGGGGTGTTAGCACCGATGGAGTTGACCTCAGCCACAAAGAGCCGAGTTGACCTCCCTCGGATTGTTGTGAACTCTTGGCCATCGCTGGACGAGACCTGTCAAGCGCGAGATTTTCCCTGATCACCGCATGAGCACCAGCGGCTACGTTTTCTAAATTAGTGGTAGCCAGCAGGTGGGGTTGGGTGTAAATAAGGAGCGGCTCAAGCACACTGAGCAAGGTTTCAGGATCTCTTATTCTTATCATCAATTCAGCAAGTAGAGCAGAAGATCATGCCGATACTGAGATCTGAAAGTATTAAAATTCTAGAACTGTGAAGACAGGAGTCAGAAATTCGAGATATTGCAATTTTTATTGATAGTCTTTTCTAAACACAGCCGTGATCGGCGAATGACAGTTCCAGATGTTCGACTAATTAGAGAACCTGTGGCCTTTTTGGTTTTCTGAAATCTAGAATTTCTTTGCCTTTCTTAGTGACAGATTGGAATCCGTCCTCAAGGCTTTCTAACCTGATGAGAATTTTGAATTCTCCAAATATTCCCGGAAATTTTAATGGATGATGTATTCTTTAGAAGCTTTGGAGGCGAGATTCTTCACAAACGTGGATGCTACAATCCCGTTCAAACTGAGATTTGTAAGTAAAGGTCATAAAATCATATTTCACGAAAATTGTGTCCTTATTACCTAGTACTGTGTCCTTATTACCTAGTCGCATTCCATCGTGCTTGTCCCACTTCTCAAATGAAGCAATTCATCCATCGAAAAATTCTTATGCATGAGCCCTTCATTACGATAAAGTTGGTGTTAATCTTGAACAACATTTCCTATTTTTGGGCGTTTTCAATCAGTCTTCAAATAAACAGTCTATTTTTCTTGTTGCGTTTTGAACTGTAATAAAAGGTGAATCAGTCTTGAACTTGGTTAAGCGGTGCGCTCAACTTGCAACCAGCTTGAAATCCAATTCAAGCTGCATGACTCAAAGCAGTTGTAGAGCTTTCTTATAAATTCTTTGAATCATTTGCTGAAATTGCCAGAATTTTGTTGAGTTGACGGAATTTTGCTGCAATCTCAAGGAAAGTTAAATGACAAATAGCTAAATGCATATCGGATTTGACTATCAACTCCATGTTGCAATCTTATTCCGTCTATCGAGACCATAACACTCTTTCCGATAAAACTCCCGGCAAAATCGCAAAGCTCCTGAAACTTGCAAAACACCGATTATTAGCATCAGATGTCAGCCTAACTATAACAAAGCCAAAAACGCCCTAGGATGCCACCTGTTTTGTCATCTAATGATACTCGTTATCACAGTGACATGTCCTGAGCAGTCATTGTTAGGTAAGCAGAGGTGAGATCCATGAGGGAGGTGATTACGATGACTACGTTAGATAAGATTATTCAATCTTGTGATTGTTTTCTACAAAATAGTAGTTTTCCATCTTATAAAGAAAAAGGAAACCTCCAATAACTTGCTGACATTTTGAATTTGTCAGACAAAATCAGATTACCTGCTGAATTTCTTCAACAGAAAAATGTTGTGAAGTTGTTGATGGAACTGCTACTAAAGTCCTTTCCAACCAATTTTGTTTCTTTACAACCCAGATCAAGAATTATGTGGGCTATCGCATTCCACAAAGCGAATTTTCGGGAGGATCAAAACCTTAGTTTGATATAAAATCAGGCTGGAAATATCGACTCCTTTTCAAGACATACACCCGGCTTTTATCATTAAGTAAGAACGATTGGAGCAGACACAAATATCTATTTCTTAAACACAGAGAATGCACATAAAATTAGATCCGTAATCATTTAGTTTGATTGCTATGATAGCCTCATCAGCAATGATATCTTCACTTAGAGACTCTGACTTCATGAACTTCTATATCGGGGTACACTGAAGAGTTCTTACTAGTGCTTAGGCTGCACTCCTTAAAAAGAAACATTTTGGATACAGGAATAATTCAATATTTGTGCAGTTTTCATTAGTCCAAATAAACTCAAAGTAAGCGTACTTTTTCTCTATTTTTATTTTTAGTTCTTTCTTTATGTCTTCTCATATGATTGATACTTCTGTACACATTCAGATTGAAATCAGAGGAAGTTGCAAGTCAGTTCATTTTCCTTATTCTTCCATATCTCCTACGACTTTCCTTGACTATTGGTGAGGTCTGGGAGAGGTGAGATTTTCTTTTTATTATAGGTTAAGCTGGTTGTAAAAAACAGAGCCGTTTCAGTTGCGATCGCACTGACACCATTTGGGCCATTGGCAAGTGCATTTGCCTTTGGCAACGTCTCCATCGGCATTGGAAGACTTGTTGTCGTCTCACTCGGCGGTTCCGCTGGCGACAGAGGAAATACCCGCGGCAGAGCACTCGTAATCATACCTGAACCGGGCAAGAGGTCAGTGCACCCGAAAGGCAAAGCCGTGACCCACGCAACAGCCCAAGAGTGTGAGGTCGACGAAGTGAGTCGACCCCTTCCATCAACTTACCTCCGCTGCCAAGTGTTGAGGTCAGTGGCGAACATCTGTACATGGCAGATGCTAATCTGAAAGCCGTTTGATGTCATCTTCTACTTTTTATAGGTCCTCCTTGATCGAGTGATTCGTCATTGTCTCACTATCGGACTTTTTTGAGCTGATCTCGTAAAATCGCTTTATTGCCAAAGTTTGGAATACAATTATGTCTAATTACATAGGTAAGCATCACTCAGTCACCTTTGCTTACTGCTTTTCGAGGTGTTTATGTTCTTTTTCTTGGAATTTTTATTTTTTAGTCAGTGCAAAACCATATAAACACAATCTCCATACTTCTTATTCAGATGTAATTGATTTGCCTCGGATGCCTTAAAGGTGCTGCGGAGAAAGTGAAGGAAAAAAAGATTACTAGGAAACGGTGACAAAATCATTTGACTTTACCTGTGAACAATTCTGATATCAAAATTTTTTTTGATATGTAATAGAAAAATTTGAAAATTTTCTGGGCTTGACCCCGCCACGCTCCATTTCAAAGTTGGATTGCCAAATATTTATGAAAGTCTCCTAAGTTTATTTTATTTGTGTGGTCGCCTGGTAAATTTCTGATGTCCATCCCCTCCAAACATTTCTTGGTCTGCCACTAGTAAGAAGAGAAGGCCTCAAATTAGTTACTTTGAAGTGAGTAACCTATTTTCTAGAAGAGTCATAAGCTCCGCCTCCTACTAGTTCGTGACAGTTTGGTGACTATAAAATCAAAATTTGCAGTCATACATCCACTCAAACTTTCGGGGTGTAGTCATTGATTCTAACATACAGTTATTTCTGCAATATTTCAACACATTGTAGCCTTTGACATTAATGACCGCTGGCAACATCAAATACAAGTTTTATTAACTCAAAATAACATGATCGAAAATAGGGAATCACAGAAATATCTGAAAAGATCTCTTCTTATTGGCAGATACATTTGTTTCGCACACAGTGCGCTCTAAGCATCACCCGAAGAAATAATGAAAAGTACACAATCACAAAGAGGTATTTGCTTATGAAAATAACAAATTATGCCACTGGGGTCACTTGGCACGACACGTTTTCATATGGATTGCTTTGGGATCACGGTGGGTGGAGCAGTTTGGCAAGGTGTTGTCGGTTGTCATAATGCGTACATGTGTTCCTTTTTCGGGCACCGTACATTGGAGAATTCTAAATTCGCTTAAGCATTAGATGAACAAAAGTATAGCTAACAAACAATAAATACTTTCGTTCAGCAGGAAAGTATAAAAATCAATTATAACTCAAGAACTGATACAATAGTAATTAGAGTTTTAACAAACAGCAATACTCTATATTTTTCTTGGACGAAAAGTCGTTAAATTGGGTAATTCCAGAAAAAGTCTACAAGAATAGTAATCGACAATTATTTTACCTAATAAACAAGTCTATGAACCCGTTAAATTACATTTGATGATGGTAACCGTCATGTAATTGATATCGCTCATTCTTTACAAACAGAACAAATGAATACTTACAAGGGGAGGACCCGAAGTTGAAAATTTCCACATGAAATATATAACATTCTGACATCGAACGCTGATTCCAAAACTATCTTTGTTACCTGCCAAACGCTTCCAGACGCTGAGTTATGAGCGCTTTCTGGCTAAAAAAATTGAACGTGCTGGAACAAATTCGTCCAAGATTGCGCAAATGACCCAGCATCAAATATCAGAGCACTCTAGGCAAGAAAAACCTTTTGTCTAATACATTTATACTCAGCACTTCTTTAGCTGAATGCTGAGCCATAACCACATAACCATTTGGGATTTTGCTATCATTTTCCGCTCCAAAAATCCTCATAATTCAGCGTCTAGAGGCGCTTAGCAAAAAATAAAGACAATCTTAGTATCAGCGTTTAATGCTCTTCAGATTAGTATATATTTCACTTGGGAAGCTGATTTTGACTTTGGGTTCTCCGCTATTAAGCAATATTTTTGTGAATGCAACTATCTGTGAAGGTGAAGAATTCCAGAAATTTATCAAATGAATACGTCATAACCTACAAAATTGAGTGTCATAAGAAAGTCAGCTTCTCATTAATATAAGGTAACCACTTTATTGAAGGTTGTTCATAGCCCTTCATATTGACCCATCTTTTGGAAAAATTTCATAAAATGTGGCCAGGGTTTGGCACAGGTGGATTTCCAAAAATGCAAAAAGCGAAGTCCCCCCGACTTTCGCAAGATTTTACAAAGTCCGTTTGACCCCTATCCAAAATATCCGAAATGTCTGAACAACAAAGTCGACTAAAAACCTAATTTTGGACCCACAGAACGCTATCCACTTTGCTTTTTGTCCAAGACCATATTTAGCTTGCTTATACATATGCGAAAGTCCCGGATATAACAAACAAGTTTTCTTCCAAAAATTTGGTGCTCCTCAGCTAGCAAAAAAGATGTGCTTGTTCATAAAACGTTCAGCAAAGTAAAATGAGTGGTCGATTAAGTTTGTGATCAAGCTTTTCTAAGGCACATTGCTCTTAAAATTAATTTTATTACTCATTTAGAGTTTCCGGGGCCAAAAAGAGTAAATAAATCAAGGAAAGAATGGCATTCAATAGAACTCACGAGTTTTAGGACATTTATGACATTTTGATATTTTTATACAGGTTGTGCTTCATCTGAAATTCTTGGCATCTCAGCTTTCAAGGAGAGTCGACTTTGAACGATTCGTTCGCAACAACGAAGCGAAATCACAACAAGGCACGCGTAGAGTAACAGAATCGCATCTGAAAAATTTAGATCATTTTCTAATTCCCAAATTTTTCTAGATCTGGAGTGACAAACCAACTCACCAAGCACTAGAGCAAATAACATCCATTGAAACAAAGTTTCTTTCGGCATTTCTCCAACCAGCACATAAAGTACAATGGAGAATACGATCATGGTCACTCTAGAAGAGGTGGGTCAAAATCAATTATGTGAGTAGCATTCATATTCTTCAGGCTACTAATCAGAATCAAAAAGGTTTTAAAGTAGAAAAATCGAAAAAGGTCTAGGGATGGTTATTTTTCCGATTTTATCATAAAACAAACATTAGCCTTCGCTTTATATTTGGATGGATCTCGACCGGATTTTTGAAATGCTTGTTTACATAGCATAATCCAGGTTATGCACTTACGTATAGACGAAGCCGATGACAAGGAGTAAGATGTCCAGAACCAGGTGTGACACAAAGAGACTGCGATGAGCTACGCACACTCCGATGAAGTATGGAAAAAGTGTCATTAGCTGACAGACACACCATAAGTCGAACATTGTTCTGGCTATACAGGCCGCTGATGACGAGAAAGTGGACAGCTGCAGCTGAAATGAAGCTGGTTAGAATGACGAGCACGTAAGCGCAGTTTTTAGATCATATTAGCTATATGTAAGCTATAGAAAAACGTAAATTTGGACAGCTTAATGATATTAAAGAACTAAGGCGTCGTTCTCATAAGTCTAAAAGGGCTCACAAATCACTTCTTTCCAAATTTTTTTTTGAAATTTTCCGGGAGAATTAAATTTATGGTCTCCTTTTTAGCTCGATAAGTAAAGCGTGCAATAAATTGTCGTTTGTAGATGATGACGTTAATCTCAACGACTTCTGCTGAGCCTAAAGGCACCGTCCACCCTAAGTCGAGTGTCTTGAGCTTTTGGCAACATATGATAGTAGGGCCTCCTATCAAGACAATGCCCAATTCGCAGTGCAAAATGTCGTTTCGGAAGCGAGAAAATCGCTCCGGAATAACGAAGATGCACAAGGACCCCATCCATGCCCGCCTGTGCGCGCCCATCCAATCACCGTTCCGGAAAGCGGGCCTGTTGTTCTCCGGAACGGGGATTGTCGGGGTTTTCACGCATTCTCGACTTTATATTCGGAATCAGGGACATGAGAAGGCCCTGAAACGACAAAAACCTGAGAGAGAATCTGGGTGGGCGGTGCCTTTAAACTCTTTTAACAACTCTTTTCGCTACATAAGCCTTGTACTGCCATTATCTCCCCACCGTACCCTCTACCATAATAAGCCTACAATTAGTTCGGAAAGGTGTAAAATTCTTTTTACAACTCTACATACGAGAGAGAATCAAGATCAAATTTTTCAAAGATAATAAGGCAAGATGAATTTAGCATGTTGAAATCTTCATTTTGTCCACTACTTTCTCACCTTACGAAGTACAGTACCGCTCAAAATTGTTCAAAAAGTCACCGGACTCTACCGAAGTTAAGCGAAAAAATTTGTTTGGATACGGTAGGTGCAGGGTAGGAGATTAAACACTCTAGATTTTTGCTTACGATAACCCGTGAACAAATTATGAGATCTGGCCGCTTACCGTGCGCCTAATTTATTCAAACGGGTACTCTATATATCAGAAGATGCATCTCGCCTAGCTGAGTTGAATGGTTCCTTTAGAATCAGCATTTATGCACTCCGAACAAAAATATGGCAAAGCAACGCAAATTTCGGTGGGCTCCGGTGGAGTTCGGTGACTTTTTGAGCAATTATGAAACTAATGGTAGTGGTGCATCTATGACTCACAAAAAATGTCATCTCATGTAAGTTCTCAATAAGGAATAAACGGTACAATTTGCGCACATTCATGATTTGAATTTTATGAGGAGCTGAGTCCTCAATTGACCTTGCCCTCTTTCTGCTCAATCATGCGCTTACACATCAAAATCCGATTTCAGTTTGAAAAAAAAAACGAATTGATATTGAAAACCCGCAAGTCAAGCATCACCTGGAAACTGCTATCGTCTTCATAATCTTTCTGCCTAGTGTTGGGTGCATAGTCTCGATCTGGATAACTGAGAAGTCCTTCGTCAATGGCCTTATCAAGACTGCGATCGAATCCATGCTTTATCGGTCTTGCTTTCGGCGTTGTAGATGCCTAAATTATTTTACTTAGGTTTTTGTAACAAACAATTCAATAGTTACCATGTCAGGTCTCAAAGGAGGTGTTGTTAGCAGTTCTTCATGTAGTTGCTCTAAGGTGCTTTTCTCCCTTTGAATCTCTTGCCTAGGGGTATGCGCTTCCACATAGTCCGCTGCTTCCACTTCCTCTTCTCTGGCAATCCACAGAACACGGCTAATGGGTGCTGGAGTAGTGGAAGTTGGAGGGCTTTCTGTCATTTTCCAGGTGGAGAAGGTGTGGGTGGCGTAGAAGCTCTTCAGAGGTGGTGCTACAGTAGTCGGTTTTTCTGTAGTAGGTAGTTCATGCTGGATTACGGTAGGAACGTTCTGAAACGACTTTGATTTGATTTTTATTCGGGAAACTGAGTTTTGGGCAAACCTCCTTCTCCTTCACTTCCGTCACCACCGTAGTCTTAGGAGCAGATGCATAAGTAGTGTAGTTGAGCTCGTCCATTTCCCACATAAGACGAGTTTCCTCGGAAAGCCTCGTTGATGGCTGTAAAAGAGGTTCTTTTGTGCGAAAGAGCTAAACAATTTCAATTTTTATAGGCTTCAACTCACGGTTGGTTTCCTAGAAGCGATATGCATAGGATAACCACGAATTTGTCCTAAATAGTGGGTTATTTAAATTCTTGCGTTTTAAAAACAAACTTAACCTCTGTTAGAAAATTGCGGATCTTTTGGATCGATGACCCCATGCAAAAAACTGCTTTGGTGAGGACGAGGGGTAGTGAAGTGAGGAACACCCGGAGGAGAAAATAAATGCCGGGGGCTTTTTGTTTGTTCGGTACCTAAAGCTTCAAGATTTTTTTAATTGAGATTATGGGTATTTTTCACCAACCTATAGCATTTTTATCCTTATGTTTCTTCCTATGGCCTTTTCGCTTCTTCGTCGTTGACACTGTGGTCGGCGCAGAGGTGGAAGACAGCTGCTCAAGCTTCTTTTTCTTTTTCTTTCTGCCTTTGCCTTTCTTCTTCTTTGGCTTTTCGGTGGTTACTTCGACGACACTATGCTCCGGCTAAAAAGGCAATCACTGTGGGACGAACAGTAGTGATATGACGTGGTTCGCAACGTGTGCTTCGAAATCTTTAGACTGTCATTTTTGCGACATCTTTGCGATAAACATGACTTTGTCCCATTTCGTAAATGCAAGACATGAAGCCATGGCAAAAGTCCTTGCCCTGGAATCTTGTGCTCCCTGTAGCTTTAACACTTTCCTATACAAATTCATGCAGTCCTGCTTTTACCGCTGCCCAAAGAAATGTTTGAATTTTGAAAATCGTATATTACGTTAAGAGCATCATAAGTTAAGTTGTGTATACCGTCACTAAGCGACTGTAGTATTATTTTACGGGACCTTAGTGGTCAGTTAATTCAAGAGCAATGTATAAAGAGTAGCTTTTTTTGCTGCTATCGTATCTTTGTTCATTCCACCTTCATCATTTAACAATGTATCTCAAAAAGATCCACTCCGCGAATATATTTACAAGCAATTATTTTTAAAGTTTTCAAAGAAAGGTTCTATCCCACACCATTGTATCTGTCGCATCTACTTACCTCTTCTTCTTCTTGTCCGCGACGCCTGATTTTTGATATGTAAACTCGCGGAGGCGCATCGATATCGATTTCTATCGTATCTTCGTCAGCAGACTAAATGCTTCGAATTCAACCTCTAATCCCGATAATGATGAACTTACTACATCGCTCATCGGCTCAATTCGATTCCGTATTGTCTTCATACGCAATGTGTCGCCTTGAGCTGGTAGCAGTTGTGTGTTGGTCATGGAGACTACCGTGGTGGCGATACCCTACAAACAAGGAAATCCCTTAGGTAAGACTTTTTAGCCGGACTCTTACCTCTGCATCTCCAGTGTTCGACTTCTTCCTTCCTCTTTTTGATTTCATACGAGGATCACTTCTGAAGGGTTGCACTTCCCTAAATCAATATATTTGATGGTATCACATTGGCGATGGTTAACACTCAAAGCCGCATTTGAGCATTGTTAAACCGAATTTAGAACGATAACGATCGTCATAGTAGAGTGAACTTTCCAGAATTGTGAGTTGATCAAAATATATAATATTAATTTCAGTGTCATAGTCTAACAAGGGAAAGCTTTCTCAAGAAACTTGCAGCGGATTAATGCCTTGATAGCAGTCTATATTCGCGTAAAGATAACAAAAACAGTGGTTTTAGAACTGGAAGGTTATGCCGCAACTCCACGAAGTAGGTCCTCAATATCAAAATGTATTCCAAAATTTCTTTGAGAGAATGGCTAGTGTTTACCACTCCCATGAAAACTTCGAAAAGATTTCCATGAGATTTCTTTACTTCCCTCGACAACGAAACCTACCACAGTTTACTTTGAGCTCTTGCCTATTTTACTCAACCTTTTTCCACTATGTTCAGCTTGAATCAGAGCGTAACTGCAACTTTGTAAGTAAAGCAAAATTAACACTATACATATGTATTTTACCAACTAGTTGCAACGCAAATCTTGTTTTTTTCTTTCGCGACGTATTTAAGTGCGTTCTTGTTTAGTTGAAGTCTACCACTTGCCCTGCAATTTGAATAATCAAACAGACTTTTGTATCGGAGTAATCATAACTCTCTTGCTTTCTTTTCTTGGCCCTCTACTGCTTCATTTCCGCACTTTTGTGCTGGAGGTGTAGACATTTCTTCGTCCTTGAAGAAATGTCTACACCTCCAGCACATAGACATGATGCCCTCATTATAGGTTATGAATTATGCACAAGCCATATCAGTTTCTTATATGACACGCATAATGATGCAAAAACATAATGTAATATTTGTTGAGTGCGCTATAATAAACTCGATATTTGAGTCAACTATCAAAAACGTGCTGCTCACTCTGAAAGCGTGCAGACTAGGTCATTTGATGCGAACTTTCTCAGCAAATAGTTTAAGTTATTCAGTATTTAAAAATCACCTTGGAAATAAAAGTGATATTTCTCTATTATTGGCGGCAAAAGGATATTTAATCTAGAACGACTTCTACAGGAGGTGACGGCCTGTTATAAATCACTTTGATCACACAATCGACAACAAACAAGCTGCTATTTTTACTCGATCAACCTTGAAATGGAATGGGGTCTTTTACTCACAAGGGAAGGAAGGTTGGTCGAAGTGGCCTTTTGAAATGTGGTGTATACTGCCTTGTAGAGCTTGGAACGCTGATTCCAAATCTACCTTTGCTATCTGCTGCGGGCTTCTGGGCGAGGAGTTATGAAGGTATTTGTGAGCAAAAATCTGAATGCAAAAATATGGTAAAATCAGTCGTAACCTTTTCCCAATGTTCAAATGAGGCAGCAGTGAATTGGTATGTTTGAATCAAGAATATTTGTTGCACCGAGAGTGACCCGACTACCAATTAAACCCAATAAAAAAGTTACGACTGATTTTAGCCTACTCTTGCATTCAGGTTTTTGCTCACAAATACCTTCATAACTTCTCGCCCAGAAGCCCGCAGCAGATAGCAAAGGTAGATTTGGAATTAGCGTTCCAAGCTCTACAAGGCAGTGTACATCTCATTTCAAAAGGCCACTTCGACCAACCTTCCTTCCCTTGTCAGGTAAGTGATTTGATTTGCGCTTCTGGCAGGAGATGAGATCTTACCTCATGCTGATTCCAAGAAGATTTCCCCTTCAAAAAAGAGCTAACACAAGATTTATATTGGAACTTATTAAAGACAAGGACTTGATTTTACCTCTTTAATCGATCGACATGCTCTTGGTCTAGATAGTTAACAGGTGGTGAATCTGAAGGGTAGACCGGTATCCGTAAAACTTCCAGTGATCGTCGATTAAGCAGTTCATCACCAAAGGATTGTGGAAGAACAGAACAGCCGAAGTCAAAGAAGTAGTACTCTGAATACAAGTTTAGTGGATTTTGTTAGTTTTATAGATAAAAGTAACGATGATGCAAATCAAAATAAAAAGGATTAGCCCATCTAAGTGATGGTTTTTACTCAAAATAATCAAATCACTGCTACTGAAAATCTGTGCAAAAGTACCACCCACAAGAGTTACTCAAATTCTGGACCACTAATGAGCTTGTCGATTTTGCCCTCAAAAATGTGAACAGGCATCTTAATGATATGAGGTCAGATGAATAATTATTTATTCATCTGACCTCAAAAAAGCTGTGACTAATCCATTAAACGCGTGCGAAAACTCCTAAATTTCTTTGAACAGTCGCCAACTTAGGTGTAGAACGAAATCGGAGGAAATCAATTGAATATAACGTAAGCTAATTTGTTCAGAGTGAAGAACATTTCGATGCTGAACTTGCAATTTTAAGGCATTCGTCTAAACACTTGGCTGGAGGCTATCATTTTGTTGCAAGTTGAACAAAATTTGTGTAGAAAGCGCAGGCACTTTTGCTGATATATAATGCTTTTCTAATAGTAAGTGTTAGAGTCAAAAGTTAGAATCATGTATTTCTTTGAGTAGTTCTTATTAGCGTGGCCTACAGACATGACCCCGTCCAAGAAACTCTTGGGTAGAACGCAGGTTTTCGTTTCTTTGAGCAGATATTTAACAACTCGTTCACTGCATTCAGAATTAACATGGAGAATGACAAATGCTTCACGCAAATGCCCAAAGAACGCTCAAGAAATCAATTCGTTCCTCTTTTTTCTTCTCGAGTGATACTGGAAAGCGCCTTTTTACTTTAGAAATTGAGAACGCAGAAAATTAGGTTTGCTGCTCCAAATAGGTTTGACGCCAAGAGATAATTGACACACGTTGCAAAGATTTAAATTTGAAATGGAGGAAAACTTTTGAATGACCTTCATATGAATGATATAATCATGCTTACCATTCTAACGGATTGAAAATAAAATTTTGAGGACCCTGCCTTTGATGAACAGTTTCGGAGAAGTAATTCTTTTAGTACGGCTGAAGAAAAAAAAAGAAAAGGGAATTAAGGATTATTGGAACCTTCCTAGAAATAATTTTTTCATTGTGAACTTCTTCCTCTCTAGTAAGAACCATAGAAAAATGGTCAGTAAGGCCCTCAGCTCACGAGATTTCTCTTGTTTTTCGTAAGAACGGAGGCACGATGATAGGAATAAATTTACCTCGAACAAGCCATGCGCAAATCAATGAAGATTTGATGAGCACTATAAATGTCAGTAACAGTCGTACCGGACATCCCAAATAGCGTTCTGATTTCCTGTAAAAAAAGCTTTCTCTAATACCATTTGTTGTTCATATTCTTGATATCAGTCTTTCATTTTAAAAGGCTGTTAAATATGATAGGTTTTGGTGTTCAGCTCCTTTTATATGCAAGGCTGTTGATTAGGGCAATATATATTGCAAATTAGCACCACATTTCTATCCATCTTGAGCGAAGATAAACAAACATAAATCTCACTTTGAAAATTCGAATTCGAAAGAACTTTAACGATAAGGCCCGTATGCACGTACATCCCCGCTGGGGAGGGGAGGGGATCTTATGAAGGTTCTCATACCCTTACATCCTGCCCATAGTGGGTGCCAGGTTACTGGCATAACTGATTAGCTTTTCACTATTTTGTGTGAAGGATCACCTCTCATTTTCAAATTCATTTATTTTTCTGAAAAGTCAATGAAAATGTTGCAGAATTTACTGAGGATATACTACGGGACTGCTAGCATGTTTATAGTAGAAATAAGCGGAATTTCGAAATGTCGAAATCTTCGATGAACAACTGCTCGCGACCTAGGGATTATCGAAAAAATCACAATATTCACATTCCACTCTCCTGTCGAAAACATGCTTAGCAGTGCCGTAGGATATCCTCAGTATAATTTTGCAGTGTTTTTCAATTCTCAGGAATATGAATGACTATGAAAATGAGAACTAATCCACTGGGGATCAGCTGGGGATCCCCAAGAGATCACACAAAATGGCGAGAAATCAATCTTTTATGGCAGTAACCTGGCACCCACTATGCGCAGGTGTAAGGGTATGAGAATTTTCATAAACAAGATAGAGAAGGAAGAAGAAAGAGTAACCATCTAGAGTAGCGAGATACATATGACGCATCCCCTCTCAGATCCCCTCCCCTCCACAGCGGGGATGTACGTGCATACGGGCCTAAAAACAACAACCGTTTTTTTTATCAAAGGAATGTCCTATAGATGGTTACTCTTGTTTGATAGTAGGTCGAAAAGCTCATACCGAAAGAGTGAAGCTAGAAATCTTTTACCGTCTTCAACAACCGAAATTCTTAAAGGATTACGAACTAAGTGTTTGTCTTTTTCGCTTTTTGGTGCCAAAAGAGACTGTAGTAGTTTCAATGAGCACAACGTAAACTTATGTTTTCTCTCTATGATTCTACTTTATTGAACGGATCCATCGAATCTGGAAGAAATTATAGGTTTCCCATATTCCAATCCAACTCATATACATAAGCATAGATGTTATTTGCAATGTACAGGATGTCCCAGTACACTTTTTGATCGTTAATAACTGTCTTCCCACTGGGTATTCTCCTTAGCTTTGAGTACATTCAGTAGAGGAGGTTTTAGCACAGTATGGAGCGAATCACCCATCGTTCGTTACTGTAAGATGACAGTAGGAACTTCCAGCATACATTGGCATTGTGAAATAGGCCGCTTGAACAAAAACTTCCGCAAAAATCTGGAAGTCGTGATTTTTAAGAATTTTAAATGGTCCTTCATTTTTAAGGACACGTCGTTGCGGTTTACAACGCATAACTCATTTTAAAAAAGCCTTACGGCAAAGTACAAATTATATATTAACGATCAGCGGCTCAGTTTAGCCTTACGATAGAGTTTTCGGGTCGTTAAGTATCCATCCTGGGGCAATATGTAGCCGCTGATGGCTCAAAACTCTTCACACATTTCCCACCGTAATCTTACAGTAACTAAGGGCGATGGGCGATTCTCGATACTGTAAATCTGAAATGAAGCCTCTTCTACTAAATGGTACTTGAAGCTAAAATAGGACTTCGTGGGAAGGAGTTATTAACGAGCAAATAGTGTGAATTCACTTTTTGGACACCTGGTATTCGAATCAATTGCTGCCAGGATTCGAAGTCTGATTTGATATTACGAAAAATTTGAATATTCTTACCTGGCATGGCCTCGAAGAATTGCTCCAGCTCTCATGTCAATCAGCTGTTGCTTTCCAATAGGAGTTGTTGGCAATGATGATGACATTTGTAGCTGTTGATTCACATGTTACAAATACTCTGAAATTCAATAAGTCTTGCAGGAAAGTAAAAATAAACAATTCTAACGGAGCTCCACAAAAGAGTGCCAAGTACAGATGCAAGAGCGAGGGAGGAGTGGGAAGCAAGGCAGGTGGAATAAGTAGCAACGGGAAGTGCTTGGAAAAAATGCACTTTGCTGTATACGTAAAATCGTGAAAAAGCAGAAATTAGAAAAACTGACAAGGGAAGGAAGGTTAGTCGAAGTGACCTTTTGAGATGAGATGTGCACTATCCTGTAGAGCTTGAAACGCTTATTCCAAACCTACCTCTGCTATGTGCTGCCGGCTTCTGTGAGAGGAGTTATGATAGTTTTTGTGAGTAAAAAGTCAAATGCAAGATTAGTATAAAATCAGTCGCGACCTTTTCTTGATGTTCAAATGAGGCAGCGGCGAGTTGGTCTATTTGAATCAAGAATATTTACTGCACTGAGTGACCCGACTATCGATTGAGCTCTGGAAAAAATGTTATGACTGATTTCACAAAGATTTTGCATTTAATTTTTTTTCACAGAAAAACCTTCGTAACTCCTCGAATAGAGGCCTGCAGCAGATATCGAAGGCAGATTTGGAATCAGCGTTCAAAGCTCTACAAGATTGTGTACATCTTACACTGAATGACCACTTCGGCTAGCCACATTCGCAGGAAAAAGATTTATAGAAGATCCTCGCAGCGTTCTGTGCATCCTTCATTTTCTATCAAATGGTGGTTTCTAGTACAATGAAGAGTTCTTGAAAATCACCAAAATCTGAAACCTATGCTTTTCGACGTGACAACTTCGTTGTACTTCTACATTTTTATAGTGACACTCGAAGAAGTCCGAGCAATGCGTGGATAGAGCATTACAGAAAAGATACAACGCATTTTTTTTCACCCTCCCATAACTCGCTTTAATCTTTTTATAGGACTTTTGATAAAACTAACGAATTTTTGCAAGTCTAATACCGCGTCAAACACCATTGAGTGATCACTCATCGAAATTCTAGACAAACGTAGATTATTCAACACTGATTCAACAAAGCAAATGGGTTTTTAACAGTGGCCTACCCAGGATTTCTGTTGGCAGACGGGGGAAGGGGAAGCGAAGGAAGCTACGAGCTCCAAAAAATTTTTTGGTATGCTTCCTGCATTTTTGCGGGCCCATAACCCCGAAATTAGAAAAGGGGGCGCGGCGGCAGTTACGTCCCCGAATTTTTTATAAGGTTAATTGAATTTTGGAAATTTTCAAACGATTATAACTATTATTTACAAATGTGAATAAGTCGCTTGCACATCTTTATAATAAGTAACTTTCGAAAATTTCGCGAATGAATCGAAATATCGAATTCAGAAATTGCCGGGAACTTGCCGGGAACAACCTGGAATACCTCAGAAATATGAAATAAGTTGATTTTATTCCGAAGACTTTACGAATCAGACACAAAAAACACTTGTTGGAGAGAGGAAAAGTGCTGCACCTAAGAGTTGCCCGCAGATTGAAGCTCTTAGATTTAGGTTGACCAATTATGGGATTCAGCATCAAAGAGATATTTATAAAAGTTTTGCAAAGCAAGCGGAAGGGAATTGCTTTGTATCCTGTAGGGTTTGCTTTAATCACTTGCTATTCGGACCTGGTCGAACTCGGAAACCGGCTGAAAAATTTAGTCGTAGTTAGTAGTTTTTGGGAGATCATTTGCTGAATGCAATGGAGAGTATGAAAAGATGCATCAACTGCTGCCAAGATCTGCTATGAATCTTTGTTCTGCGAATTGTGGCAGCCGTTCAAAAAAAGCGAAAATATCTTGGGGAAAGTCTAACATCATCTACTCAAGAAAGGCGTTTCCTAGACTTTGTTGTTCATAATTCTTTGAATGTTTTTAGTCTTTATTTTTGTTTTCTCAGTGAAATCGTGCTTGACATATGGTATCTATTGTTATACCTAAATAGCTGTTGTTTTGATTTTAGAATTGTTCAGAAATAAATGAATGTTCAGAAAAAAGTGCACCTTTTAGGTCCGAGTTAAGAGAAAGGAGAGCTGCGTTTGTTAGGAGAGCGATGAATATTTCAGCATTCGCCGAGCTAGACGAGATGTGAGGCGCCAAGAAAGGAAAGTAAACACATATGCTAGTGAGCTATTCGTGTACTTTATTTTAGAAAAAAAAGGATTTTTTTAGCACTAAGCTGCAAATACAATGCATAAACCTATCTTGTAGTTTAAATAGCTATAAAAGAAGTACCCGACGGGTGAACGAAGCCAAAAAGTACTTGTCCGGGAACGTTCTTCGTTTATTGCGAGGCTTAAAAAACCCCGCTGCAAATGCTATTTCGAATAAACTGGCGTGAAGTTTGGAGTGCACTTCGACGAGAACGTTCGGTTTTCACCAAAAAAGTGAATGCGTATTAGAATCTAGGGCTCTTGTCATATGAACTAGTCCTATATGGGATGTGCATTTACGGAGTTGAGTGTACGAATAAACTTTTTTTGCAGAGGGTTTTCTAGGGAGAAAAAGTCATTCAAGCAGAGATGTGAATATGCGTAGAATAATCAAATAATTTATAGTTTCATACGTGGCGTACCTAAAATTCCCGTTCGGGGAGGGGTGAGAGGGACAAAAATCTATTGTCAAATGAAGGTGCGTGGTCTTAGCCGATACTTTTTTAAAACTTTCGCAAGCCTATAGCCCCGAAATTTCAGAAAAAGAGGTCGTGGCGCTAGCCAAAAAATTTTTTTATAAGCCCAACTTGATTTTTAAAAATTCGAAAGTTACTTTAATTCTTCGCAAGCATAAACAAGTCTCCTGCACATTTTTATAACTCATTTAATTAATTTTCAAAAATTTCGCGGTCCATTCTCGGGGGGTGGGGGGGGGGGGGGCGGGGGGGGGGGGAGAAGGCGCACGCCAGCAGAGGTTTACAATTGGCTCTTTATTTATCGGCTTGTAAGCTACTAGAAGGACGGAAAATAATGCGAATATGTATTCGTCTCCTACTTAAGAACAACAAGAAGTCAATTGGACTCAAGAAAATCATTGAGCCTTGCATTCATTGCCGAAAAACTAATGTGAAACCTTTTGTTCATCTATTTATTCAATTTAAAAAGTTATACTAATTTTTGTACGTTGCGTGCATCAGACTGCTTCAAAATTTTGGCGACAAGCCACGAATTTAAAAAATCCAAAATGCTGTCATTCCCGAAATTGTAGACGCCTGTTGTAACCATTTTCGCTTGCTCCTTTTTTTGTTAGAAAACTGCAAATTTTCCCTGAAAAGCCCCGGAAGACCTTGAGAATGACGTTGATCTTGTTTGGTTACTGTAAGAATGATCTAAGCAGTTCATTAAAGGATTATCATAAAAACGACGATTGTGGTGAGATGACATTTAGTAAAGATCATGGTATGTAAAACACTAGAGTTTCAAAGGGTTACAACACTCCTATAGAAAACAAAAAATCAGTGTTTCTGCCTAAAATGCCTATCTAATGTCGTAAAACCATTTGGGTTTACACGTCTACTTCTTTTTAGAACAGCAATTAGCACTGCAATTTCATTCACATTGTCGCTGGAAGGTCAGGGATTTTAGAAATGCAGTGTATCAACAAAAAAATCCAGACACAGTTATTCGTTATTATCTTTTTAACCTAAGGTTTCACGAGAAAGGAAATACTTGGAGTAAGATGCACCCTGTTTTTTGCGCCACTCTGTTGGTCTGTAATTTTATTAGATTTCCAAGCTCAAAAGAGCAAAAGAGCAAAATTGGTAGATGAAAGAATTCCCATACAAGCAGAAACATTTTTTGTATAAACATGCTCTAAAAATAGCCAAACTACGAAAGACGTTGCAAAAATAAAACAAGATCAGAATTCCGTGGAAAGAGTGAAATACGAGAATTCAAGTGGATTCGCAATTGCAGATAATTTGGATCTGAAATCCTAGAAAAGAAACATTGCTAAAATTGGAAATTACGCTAGCCATTGGACGGCACATTTCCTCTGACAATATCGAAGGCTGTTTATGGTGAATAGCCGAAACAATATCAGTTTAACCTTGCACTTTAGTCGACAAGCCTTGCCCTTATTCCGTCCACATGGGGTCATTACCAAGAGACCAAAGGTTTCGAGGAGTTGAAATGGAATTGGAATCGCTGCCCACACGCGGCGCCGCACTTTTGAACCTGTCCCTCTCGAACTATTAATTGCTGTTTCGAACGTTCAAGCACCATTTTGCGCTAGTGAATACATATTTCCAATTTCAGAACTTGTTCACGAATTTTTTTGAACAAACCTTCTGGGTAACCAACTTGGAAAACTCAGAACTCGTTCAGTCGTTGCTCCAAATTTCAACTCAAATCATTTTGCGAAATTATCAAAGAATCACTTCTTTTTCCAGAAAATCGCATGCAAAGCGATGTCATTTAACTGATAATTAGAAATCAATGAGTGTTGTCAATGAGGAATTCCATTTAAGATCAGATTTGGTCGAGTCTCTTGACTATTTTTTTCCAAAAAAACCAACCAGCTGGGAGGCCGTTATAAATTTTTTTGTAACTTTTTTGTAAGTAATCATACATCCACGGAAAGTGAATATATGCTTAACAATTCATATAGTTTCCAGACATGATTACTTGATAGAGAAGGGGGGTCAACAACAGGTTGAAATTTTACTCTAGGATCGCTTGTGCCTTCTTACATTAGTACACATTCTAACCAATTACGTTGATATTTTTTTCACCACAGGCTAAAACACAAAGAACAAAGAGCTGCACTAGATGATAAAGTAGGAAAAAAATCTTGCAAGGAGCCAGCTTAAAAATCACATTATCGTGTTGTTTCATACAATATATTCGCCCAATTCTATATTTCTGTCTTAATAGTTCAGGGGAGAAAACCCTTCCTACAAAAACAGTCTCCATATCATTCTTTTTGGAAATAAACAGTTTAATCCGTATTTTTCCCCTAACTCATGAACTGGTAC